GTGTCAGCCAAGCCCTTCTTGCTATGGCACATTACCTACCCCCTTGTTGGGCTCCGTAATGGGCGGTGCACCCGGGCACTGAATTTTCCTCCCATCTCATATTTGTCTATGCAACAAAAACTTTCTTGATCGGCCTCTGAAAAGAGGTCGCACCGAAGCTCAGGGTCACTCTCGAAACATCCTTTGTACCTGAAAAATTTCCAAAAATTCTTGTCTTGCATTCTGAAGAGGAAAAACCACTTTCTAAACTGTCCCCTCTCCTGGTCGCCAAGGTACTGGAAGGAATCATTGGAAAGAATTACTCTGCAAAAAAATATGGCGTCCGGTGACCTTTTAGTTGAGATCAACACCAAAAAGCAAAGTGAGGACCTTTTTTCTCTCAAAGCTGTGTCTGACTATAAAGTAAATGTTACTCCACACCGTAAACTTGATACAGTTCAAGGAGTTATTTCAGAGGACGACCTAATGGACTCGTCTGACGAGGAACTTGTCGAAGGCCTTTCAGACCAAGGAGTAGTAGCTGCTCGACGCATCACCCTTTGTCGTAAGGGCGTGGAGCGAAAAACAAGACATGTTATACAGACTTTTGACGCCACTACACTTCCAGAGACCGTAGAGGCAGACTACAGCCAGTGCCGTGTTCGCCCCTATGTGCCGAACCCTCAGCGGTGCTTTAGGAGTTGCCGAGGAAGTGATACTTGCGCGAAGTGCTCCAGTAAAGAGCATGTCGCTGACTGTTACGAGAATGATCCAAGATGTGTCAACTGTGAAGGTCGTCATCCAGCTTACTCACGCTCTTGTCTGAAATGGAAAGAAGAAAAAGAAATATTGACTCTGAAGACCAGAGAAAACATCTCCTACCATGAGGCGAAAAAACGTTTTTCCTTATCAAAAGGAGGATATGCCGAGGTCGTGCGCAGGGGACCCGTACGGCCTGTGATGGCGTCGGCGGGAACACAGACTCCTCCAGAAGAAGTGTGTATCCCGTCAGTGTCCGATCCACGGGAGTGGTGCCAGCTGTACTGCGCCCCAACCACACGGTGGACGCTGTTCCTTCAACGTCTACCCTGAAGCGGGGGACGGCACCCCCCCCTGCCCCTGCCCCTGCCTCCCTGCCTGCCTCCGAAAGGCCGGGGGCAACCCAGTGTCTTGAGCCAGAAGAGAGCTAGTGAGCCATTAAGGCTGGCGACCCCAGCGGGTCTCCCCCCGGCTCCCCCTAAGGAGTCTATGAACGAGGGTGGACCCAAGCCCGGCGAGGAAAGTCTCCTCGCGGGATCTGACTCCTGCCTTTCTGCCACCAGTGACTCCACTGGCCAGCAGAAAGAGGCTGTAAAGAAGAAAAATGCACCGCGCAGAACGATAAATTTTAACCCATAGTCATCTCATTTAACTTTTTACCGGTTTTTATATTCACTTCGCACTGGCTAAGCATATAGGTGTTATGCAGTGGAACTGTCGCGGCCTTCTACGTAACATAGATGACATCAATTCATTTTTTGATGAACTCCGCCCTGTTGCTATTTGCCTACAGGAGGCTTACCTAACTGACTCGCACACGCAGGTTTTGCGTCATCATCAAGTTTTTAGAAAGGACCGCCATTCCTCAAGCCCTTCGGGTGGTGTAGCAGTGGTGGTTCAGAGTGGAGTGGCATGTGCCAAAGTTCCATTACAAACTTCACTTGAGGCAGTTGCAGTTCGCATCTGTGATGTGCGCGGCTGAGAGCCGTCATCGGGCTACAGATGTTTTCGCCATGACGTGGCCCCGCGTGCCACGAGGTATACCGTCGACGGCCGGAGAAAATGCACAAGCGAAAAAGAACGAAAAGAGGTAGAAGAAGACAAGCGGTCCGAGGAGCTGGCTGACTGTTGAGTTCGTCCCGGTTCGACTAGGCCGGAAACTCAGGAATGCGCTGGCCTGGCCACGGCTCCCGCTGAGTGCGTCCTGGTTCCACAAGGCCGGGAACTCAGCGACTCGTCAGCCTGCCCTCCACCCTCGCTGGGTTTGTCCGGACTTCTGAAGACTCGGAACCCAACACTCCGCCCGCTCAGCCATCTCCACCTTCGCAACCACAGAAGACTCCAAGACGTTTGCCAACGTATGACGAACATTTTTCTATTGGCATTAAGAACTGTGGAAGCCGCGTGTTTAACATCTACTGATATCGCTGTTCTAAATATTTTTGTAGAACCTTTGCTAATACCATTGCTGTAAATATTTTTCTTTATATCTTCTTTGTTTAAACAATTCTCAAAGCCAACGGTCTCGTTCTCATTATTTGTGACACGACATCCCCACAAACCTACGACAGCATCCTTCTTGACCGCCTCATCACTCTAGTGTCACTCTACTTGCCACCTAATGTTCCACTTCATCTTTATGAACTCCAAGCACTCATCAACCAACTCCCCAAACCTTTTTTAATCCTTGGTGATTTCAATGCCCACCATCCTTTGTGGGGAAGCTCTCGTCAGGACTCCCGAGGTGGAGTTGTTGAACGACTTTTATTATCAACTGGAATCTGCTTACTGAATAAGAAAAAAACCTACCGTATTTGCACGAATATAACGCGAGTTTTTTTTCGAAATTACGTGCTCCAAAACGCACCTCGCGTTATATTCGGAATCGAGTTCAGCCACGAGGCGCGCGAGTCTGGAGAAAGCCAGAGGAGAAAGTCATCCCTCCGGCTCAATGCATAAGATCCAATGGGAAAAGACGTGGGGGTGTGGAGGGGCATTTTTTAGCCATTGGGCCACGTGAAGGGGAGAATAGAAAACATAAAAATGCGTTTTTATCGCTTCTGTGTTTTTACAACGCGCGCACGCCGCACGCGCGCGCGCCATGCGGGAATGCGGGCACCGGCCAATTCGAGCCAAGCCAAGCCGGGCCAAGTCAAGTCAACACAAGCCAAGCCAAGGCTACCGACCGCGTTTACGCAATCGTGCAACACGAGGTATTTGTTTACGAAGAGGGGCCAGGACAAGAAGTGTGATCGTGTATTGGGTTCAGCTGTCTCTTCTCTGCCTGCGCATTGTTTAGTTTCGGCTCCAGAGTGGTCTGGTGTTTGTGTGTTGGTGCTTCTGCTTCGTGCCTTGTTTGGATTGTGGGCTGCCGAGGAGCTCGCACGGAAGAAAAAGGAACTACCAGACAAGCAGGTGTCGTGCTGCTGCTTATCTGCGTAGTCGCCAAGCGGATTGTAAACGGAAGGACCTGAGCAGTGAGGATGAGTGCTGTCAAAACATAAACTGACATTTCTTCTATTTCCATTGACTTTTCACTTCTGCTATGCCCCCCGAGTGCGAGAAATTGACGCGGCATCGGTTCGCGTTATAATAGTAATAATATTTTTTTTCTTTTTGGGCGCATCAAAAACTGCCCTCGCGTTATATTCGTGGTCGCGTTATATTCGTGCAAATACGGTACATTTTTTAGTGCTGCCCACAACACTTTTTCATCAATCGACCTATCACTATCATCACCATCTCTGCTTCCATGCTTTTCATAGAACGTTTTAGACAACCCTTTTGGCAGCGACCATCTACCCTTAATTTTAGAATCTGAAAGTTTTGCTTTTGTGTGACGCTTTAATGATGGCCATGCTTCTGCAAGAAGTTCTACTCAAATTTGGTAAGCGGCTCAATAATGTTTCCATGCTTGTCTCTGATTCAGCATCCTACATGAGGAAGCTTTATCTAGACCTCTGTCAGTCAGACCTCAAGTTTGCGGGCGTCCACCTTAGCGATGCCTGTCGCCTTCTGAACAACGCCCTTGCTGAAGGTCTGCGCTTGGAAGTTTTGCATGCGTGCACAACTTTGTTATGCACGTCACAGCGATGTTGAAGAGCTCTAGAGAGGTTCAGCGTAAATGCCACGCATTGTGCAAACCCATGAACATGGAGCCAAAGTTTCTTGCAACCGTTTGCCCTACCAGATGGTTCTCTTTTTACGAGTCGCTGTGTGATGTTCTTACCTACTGGCGCCTTACTCTTGCCTTCATGGAAAGTGGTGACGCAAAAGGCGAAAAATGCAAGAAGCTTCAGGCTATGATTGAGGACAGTGGAGCAGCGCATGACCTCCTCATTAAGATGAAATTTGTGAGAGAAACGTAGAACTCGATTTTGACAATCTTGAAAAAGCTAGAATCGGAGGACACACTTGTGTGCAATGTCTACTCTTTGCTCGTAATACAGCTAGGAGGGATCTTGGAGGGGTGGGCTGAGGAAGATCGAGGCTACCACAATGATGTTGCCAATATGCTAGACCTCGTGAACGAAGAACAATCCAAACTCACCGAGACATTTCAGTCATACTGTGAAGTTGTTGCAAAAGAGTGGAATGACAGTGTCGTAAGAAACGTTTCAGGTAGCATGGGGTACACCGTTGCACTGACAACATTTTGGTTTAATGTGCGTATCATTGAGCCGAACGTGAAGTTGGAAATGCCTCCTGACTTCTTGACGTACGGGAGCATCTTTAAACTTGTTAGTGGCACGTGATGCAATTCAAGCCTTGCAGCCAGAGTTTCGTGAATATCTGCAGTATGCTGTGCTCGAAAACATGGTGCCGGTTGTCTTTTGGCGATCAAATTTGAGTGATTGACCAATATTAGCTACCGCGGCACTTCGCCTCCTTAGTTTGCCTGTTTCAAGTGTGAATGTAGAGGGCATTTTTTAAGCTGAGAGTGATAAACCGAAAAGAGCAGGTGCGTATTAGCGAAGGAAACTTGTGCAAATACATATGTGTGTATTTAAATCAGATGAAATTGGCATGACTTAATTGGAAGTGGAATGCACGGTTGCTGTGTGAACCCAATATCTCACTTGCTTGTACTCGCGTGTGTGCGTGTGTCTTCATTCCTATCTCAGTTTGATGAATAAACATGCCATTTTTATACCTGTCATTTTACGTAATTTTATGTAAACAGCAAAGCTAAAACCAGAATACATATTTGCCGAAAAAAACCGAAAACACGTCTAGCTGTATATATATTCACCGATAAAAACTGAAAATGTGCTTTCAAAACAAAAACAAAAAAAAGTATGCAGCATTAAAAAAAAAAAAAAAAACCGAAAATGCCAAACCCTATTCATAAGCAAGTCAGGAAAATAAAAGTGTTTGCCCAGATCCTTTGAAAATTGCTACTTATTTCGTGGTCAGGAAAAAGTTAATTAACAAAACAAGGATTTTTTTTTAATCTAACAATGCAGATAATATTTTCATACCTTTTGAAAACAGTTTGTCACCCAAAAGCAGGAAGGTAGCTGATGATGATGACATTGTCTCTGGTTGCAGTGAGTGTGCCTTCTTGGAAGGGATGCGCTCAAGGAGACCCTCCTCTGAAGCAAGTTTACGACCACGTTGATCTAATGGCATTGTGTCCTCCTGGAAACTAAAATATGCTTTTGTGAATCACCTACATCTTGTAGCAATTTTTTCCGACCTTGCCCAGACGTCCTGTGTGATCTTGCATCATGTGGAATAAGTGTGAACATGTTTGTGTTTCTTCAGAATTTTTTCACAAAGCAAAAGTTCAAAGTTAGGTCAATTAAGGTAATCTTACTCGCATAGCTACACTGAGGAGATGGAGGTGCCTCAGGTCAGTATTCTGAATGTTAGAGCCATTTTAGCGAGAATCAACACTATTATTACACATTTCCTAGACCAAGTTAGAAAGTATCCTCTATGTAGATAACCTTCAAGTATCATTCCCTCAGAATTCCTTAAAAAGACAACCATCCCAATATCATTCCTTCAGAATTCCTTAAACAGACAACCATCCCAATATCAACAAAAAACAGTGCAAAACACAATAGGACAATTTGCAAGTCAATATCACGGCTTAATATACCATAGAATCCCAAGAGATGCCCCACCCCCAAAAGATAGCCCACATCTATGTTTGGCTTGATTTGCTATATTTTTTTAAGCACCAAAAGATAGCCCGCTCCTAGTAATAGTAATGTTGGGATCAATAATGGTCTCGGCATAAATGCGGTTTCTTAGCTATGGCGGAATATAAGCAAAAGTTACCGACTGGGAAGTGCAGTCATCTTTGCTTCGTTGCCCCTTGCCACCATAACGAGCTTGAAAGGGACACAGCCTAAAAATAGCAATTTTTAAACTTTTCTTGAGAGTACACCGAAAGTTAGCCCACTCTATATTTTCACCCGATTCGCTCTTGATGTTAGGTGGGCTATCTCTCGGGATTTTACGGTATACCGAGAAAACCAGCCGTTAGTTCACTCTCCGCAACAGCCTTTTCCCCAACTGGCAAATTCCAAAGCCCATATTCAAGACCTCCATACTCGCAGGCTTGAGAAGAATAGCATTCTGAAAACCTTGGCAAAGAGGCCGATGAAATCTGTTGTAATGTGAGCACTGTGACAGAAGCACGACATGTTACCGGAGACTAGTTAAAGTCTCCGGCGTCCCGCAAGGCTCTGTACTTGGCCCTTTACTCTTTCTAATCTATATTAAGGACCTCCCACTTCAACTTGCTTCTTCAGTTCACCTTTTTGCAGATGACTGCGTTATATATTAATAGACTAATAAAACCTCCCGACCACAACCTGCTACTCCAAAACGACATTAACAAAATTGCCGACTGGTGCCATACTTTGCAAATGTCCCTAAATATTAATAAATGCATGCATGTATGTTTCACGCGCTCGTCCTCCCCTCACGTAACAACATTAACACTAAATGACATTGTCCTCCAGGCCACTACCGAATATAAATATCTTGGTGTTTATTTAACTAATAATTTATCCTGGATTAATCATGTTAATAAGATTGTATCCTCAGCTAATCCCTCTTTTGGTTATATTCGGCGTAACTTCAAGACGGCTCTTTCTAACCTCAAGACTTCTCTATATTACTCTTGTTCGCCCTAAACTAGAATACACCTCATCTATCTGGCATCCCCACCTTTCATTTCTCACCAATGCAATAGAAGCAGTCCAAGACCACGCAGCTCGTTTCATTCTTTCCGATCACTCCAGTTTTTCCAGTGTCACTGAAATGAAATCTCAATTAACCCTCCCTGACCTTTCTCTGCGCCGCAAAATTTCCAGGCTTTCCCTCCTGCATAAAATGTATTACTCTCCCTCTTTGAATCAGTCTCTCCTTAGCCCACCCAACTATGTTTCTTCAAGACTGGACCACACATGCAAGATTGCCCGACCCAAAACCGAATCTACAGCCCACCAGCATTCACTTCTACCAGAAACTATTGTGGACTGGAATGGCCTTCCCGATAACATCGTCACCATCGCAGATAACACCAAGTTTCGCCTCGCACTAAACCACCACTCCCCTCTGTAATGCCCCTCGGGGCCCTGAGGGTATTTGTAAATAAATAAATAAATAAATAAATACCCAAACAAACATATTGGTAGAATATTTTGCTGATAAAAAAGTACATACTATTTATATTGGTACCTAGTTGGTAAAAATCACATAAATGAGACAGTGAAATGCCTTTGCAATCAACACGCAACCCCATCTGTCAAAATTTGGTCCCCTATATAGATTCTTTCCTTAAATTGTACATCTATCATGCTGATTCATGTAGTTATATGTAAATGCTTTTATCTCGAAAAAGAACTAGTGCATATACAATACAAACAAAAATTATACTTAATCCATATTTTATAAATGCACAAGATTTTCAAGGACCCTTCAATCGTCCCTCTAAATAAGCACTAAAAAGCTGTCCAAGTTTTCAATCTGTTGTCAAAATATGAGAACTACTCCCACAAAACTTCTAAACTGCCACAGGTGAAGGAAGGCAGGACAAGCTCCTGCAAAGCCCTCCACTATTTCCAGTTTAGCAAAAGGAATGCTGGAGAGGAGGCAACAGAGAAGGAAAGTCCACTTGCCTCTTCTCCAGCGTCCGCTCTGCTAAAGTGGCAAAAGTGCAGGGTTCTACGGAAGGAGTTTGTCATGCTCTTTTAACCTGCAACACAGTATAAGTGGTCAAGCAAATGCAGCTTAACATTCAATGCATCATTATGCAACCCCTATTGCCATGCAAGTGCACAACACTTGAAGCATACACATATAAGCAGTCTGCATTTCAATTTGTTCATTAGGTAGAATCACCTTAAATTTCACTCATCTTGTCGGTGCACAAGAGCTAAGTCAGTGCTTCAATACACTCCCACTCGACTAGCGCAAAAACAGCGCCTCTGAAGGTATAAACTTTCACAAACAACCCAGGCGAAAATCAGTCCAATTCCAGCTGGATTATGGAACTTGAAATGAGGTGGTCCAGCTGGATTCCAGCTGGATTCTAGCTGGGTCCAGCTGGATTCTAGCTGGGTCCAGCTGGATTCTAGGTGGGTCCAGCTGGAATCCAGCAGGACCACCTCATTTCCAGTTCCATAATCCAGCTGGAAGTTGTAGTGTGCCATCAACCAGCTAGATGGCGCAAGAAGTCATGGTTTGTGTCGTTACTACGAGATGGTGCACGTCTTGACAGCGGCACCCGCTGTCTCTGGATTTGTGTACATATTGAAAATAGAACAGTCTTCACAAAAACTCCGAGCTGGTGTGACGTCTCTTTCTTCCGTCGGGGTTCCCGTCTTGGGCCCCGCACCTCGGCACCCCGCGGCCCACGCGCCGGCAATGTAAGCCTTTTCAGCATCTCTACAGGCCTTTCGGGGCGCTGTCTTTGTCCTAGCTTTTCCTGTCTCTTTCCACTCATTAGTAATGGCCCCACGCGACCATTACAGAAGTGGACTGTTTTTCGCCTGGGAATGTACAAACACAGAAGGTGATATACTATTTCTGTTCATTTGAATAATGCTTATACGAGCACACATTTGGATAGCGAGAGATTTTTTAGGCAATTTCTCTCCGATTGTGCACAACTAGAGCCACTGCATATGAGAGCTAGCTCTCATATGCAGTGGCTCTAGTTGCTCAGATAGATACTGCTCAGATATGTTTTGGTGGTCAAATCTTATTGGAATCATGCCCAATGGATAGGCAGTAGTACCCAGGTAAGAGCCACATGGTGGCCAAGTATAAAGTTGAAGCAAAGTTCCATTCCCTACAAATGTCCGTTTCTACGTAGAGTTGGTGCAAGTCGCACCTTTCGTGTAACTAGCACTTTTCAGTTAAGCCCCATAATAAAAAATTCATACTATAAATGAGCAATATTTCGCGATTTTCTCATCACACCTGTTTGCGACATGTTTTGTGGGCACAAATTTATGCGATCTAGAATGGTATGTTTTGTACTGGTCACCATGGAACTGTTTGTTTGCGGGATCAATCTTTTGTGAATTGTCTTCAAACCGCAAACGTTAGGTCCTCGCAAAAATTAAGGTGTTTACAGAGTAAGACGTGCCGCTGAAAAAGGAATAAAATTCTTGAAAATACATTAAAAAAATAAAAGGTTCCTAAAGGTTCTCAAGTTATTTCACAGGCTACAAGCTGATAATGTGTGGCTGAAGGTTTGCCAAAACACAGCACATGTGGAAAATACCTCCCATTGCTGGTATCACTGAAATGGGAACTCAATGGTTCAGGATGAGCTTAATTCTTTGAATCATCCTCTCTACATGAATGCACACCGAAGCAACTGCGTAGGTCTGTTCCATTTCCTCGGGAGTGAACGGAACGTTGCTTCTTGCTGAGAATGGTGGCATTACAAGGATGACCCCTCCCCTGTTGGCGAGAGATGATCGAATGCCAGGAAATCCCTCGTCTGTGAGAACCATGTCATCGCTTTCGAGCACAGTCAAAAATCCAGTTTAGTTTGATGTATCTAGACGGTGGTTTTAAAAGCGCAGAGGACTAAGAAGAGAAGGAGGGGACAGGACAGAGCGCTCTGTCCTGTCCCCTCCTTCTCTTCTTAGTCCTTTGCGCTTTTAAAACCACCGTCTAGATGTTCAACCAACTAGCCCCCAATTAATTCTGATAGTGTGATGTACTTGTCTAAACGTCGATCACCGTATGGCTTGGACCTGAACACCACCATTGCATCGGGGATGATTCTAACAAGGAATTTCAGTGTGTAGCCTCCTTTGTACGAGGGTTACAGTACATGCTAGTGCCTAATGTTGGAGAGTGTCTCCGTTTTTATCTCTGCGCAATCTACAATCAGAGTGCACTCGGTATACTAGTTTTCCTAAAAACAAAGCGGCTGCGCCAGCTTGATATTGCTCACAGGAGGCTTACTGATCCCATCTCTAGTGACCTCTGCCAAGGTGCACAGCACAGCATAAAATGTACGGCAGGCAGTGGTCTCGTGGACCCCGAAAAGAGTTTCAACAGTGCTAAACGATATTCCAAGATTCATTTTCATGACGAAGATCAGCATTTTGTTTTCTATAGTAACATCACTCCCCCGGTCTCGAACCGTTGGCAGTAGGCTAAGCGGTAAAGCAAACACATTGCCGTCGACACTGCACATGCTTTGCAGTGCATCTGGGCTAGCGGTCATGCTGCACTGGCTAAATTTCTCTCCTACAGCTGAGACACCAGACACCCGTTGAGGCTGACTAACTCCGGCTGTCACGTGAACGAAAAGACGACAGTGATCGGAGCGTTTCGTCCTGCGTGTGTCTGGCTAGCTGGGTACGTAAAATTGGAAGTACAACTTACGCACACCTTGGGCGCCGACCAAAGCCAAGCACGCGCTCTTTTCGTTTTTTTGTTTTTTTTTTGTCTTCTTCTTCTTCTTTTTTTCTTTCTAAAATGCCAGGTATACAGTGGTACAGTCGTAGAGCGTAGAGCCACTAAATGAGCTGGCACTAGTAGAGCGTTAATACATTGGGAAGTGCCGGACCGCCAGATTTCGCTCAGATTTGGCGGGCGAGATTTGGCCGACGTTGGATTTGGTTGGATTCCACTAGCACTGACTGAACAGCAAATGCCCAGCCCTTTGAAAAACGATCAAAGTATAATGCAATTAACTTTTATTGCGTCAATTAAGTGATAAAGTATTATTTGTTATAATAAAGAGTTGTTTTTGTAAAACGAATGCAATGTTTTCTATATTTTAGAGCCGCATAGCCAGTATAGCCGCAGTCAGCGCAATTTGAAGTTTTCTTCTGGCAACTAAGGGCACAGCTCTTTTTCGGGGTGTCAAGCAAATGTTTAGCGGCTTTACCACTTTACGAGTTAACCCGTGTTTATTTGGTGTTCTAAGTCCTCTCGCCAAGTGGAGCAAGCGAAAGAACGTAAGCGTCCCATAACTCGTCGCTATATTTCCCTTTGCTAGCGATGGAGCACAGTCTTCTGAAACGCAGGGCATTCACTATTGTGCTGTCGGCGTCGCTTTCAACATGGCAGTGCGGCGTGTGTTGTACGGATGATGCTTTTCGCGAAAGCTCGTCGGCGTTTTGATTGTACCACCTATTTCTTGGCTGTTGCTTGCACTAATGACTGCCATGATTTCAAAACACATCACTCTGGGCGCTTGCCGCTTGCTTTTCGTTACTTAGGTCACTATCTCTGCCGATCAGTCTGTTCTAGAGAGAATAAAAAGAGGAGCCTGCACTTTACATCCCTTATTTCTTGCGTTTGTTTTCTTGAGTTTTGTTTTCCCGTACTGGAATATTCACTATGCTTTATCATCGTTGTCTCGTTGCTGTGCTTATCCTCTTGGCCCAATCTTGAATGACTAGAATCAATCACGTTGTCGATTGTTTAGTTCGCTTCAACTCTGAGTCGATACACAGTAACTTTTGAGAATGGCCTAGTGTGACAGTAACCGGCATCGCGGAGATGCCGGTAAACGCTTCTCGTTGGCTCTTGCTTGTGATGTCACGTCTCCGGGGGCGGAGCTCGTGCTTATTTATTTACAAGTACCCTCAGAGCCCCGAGGTGCGCTGCAGAGAGGAGTGATTGGTTAGTTTTGGGCAGGAGTGAATGGGGTGCTGCAGGGTGGTTTTAGGTCGGGCAGTCCTGCAGAAATATACTTGGGTAAGCTAAGAAGCAATTGTTTTAAAGAGGTAAATATTGTAAAAACAGTGAGTGTGCAGCGAGCCTGTGGATGTTGATCATTATGTAGAATACCCGATACTGTGGTAAAAGCTGGGAAACTTGATCAAAGAAAAAAGACGGGGGAGAAAAGAATGTCTTTTCCCCTGTCTTTTTTCTTCCGCCAAGTTTCCTAACTTTTACCGCAGTCTTGGGTATTCTACATAATGATAAATATTGTAGAGAATTAACTAAAATTTTATGGCTGTGACAGGAAAAAAAAAAAACGAAAAAAAAACCCCCACAAGTAATCAAAGAGCATAAGGCGGGCAGCACAATTTTGGACGGTTTCGATTGCATTCGGTAGAACAGGTCGGTGAAGGGTTTCGGATGGATGAAACAAACTCTATCTCTACTCGCTTCATCCTTAAGCAAACCGTGTGGTGGAAACTATATGACATGCAAGTTCGTCTGCTCCTTGCATACCTCATGCATTTGTTTACCCGCCAAAGGCGCACATATCATTTAGTTACCCCCGACCTCAACTAATGATGGCATGCACTTGGCTGTCTCGTCACCGCACATTCCCTGTGCATTCTCTATATTGCCCCTTGATTGGTGTGCCCCTCCTTGCATTTTGATGTGCCACAGATGCGTTTTGGAACACTTGCTCGCCGTGTGTGCTTTCGTTGACCTGTCGTGTCTATCTTTGGCCATGTGATCACGCACCCACGCCGAGAGAGGGAGCACTGTCAGCTTAGAGGCTAACAGAGTAGTATACGGCCAACAAGTGATGTAAAAAAGCTGTTCTAAGATTGGGAAGTTTGATGCCACAAAATTCGATGATGAAGGGCAGTCACGACAGATTTTTGAGGGTTGCCGCGACTATGGATACGAGTCCCGGGCAGAAGCAACAAGCAAAACGCTCAAGTGAAAGGAAGGCACACATTGCCTTCAGAATGTGTGGATGGTCGATTGGGTAATGAACTTACGTGTTTCAGAAATTAAGCACGGTCGAAATAATGCAATGAAAGAGTTACTGCTTAGAGTGAATATGATAGTAGAACCTTTTTGTTCTGTTCGCCATGGGCAAAAAGCCATCTGCGCTCATCCAGCCTCAAGTAATGCACCGCTTTTTACGGCGGCCATACTCCTGATGGTGATTCATTGAGCTCTTGACTGCATAAGTTGCCAGCAGCTAATTGTCCCCTTTTAACACTCTGTCACTCCGCTGAAAAGTCCATGAATGGCAGTTTTCTTGAGTAAACGTAAGAAAAAATACTGAATGACGCCAGCACACATAGTTAGGCCAATTTCCTCTTCTTTTTTTCTTTTCTTTTTTTCAAATAGTTTTTATCTTTTGGTTGCGGTCACATCTTGACTTGTCGTTATTGTGACAAAAACGATTTTGTACCAGATGTCAAGGAAGTGTTTCTTGGCATGTATGTCTGGCAGTACAAGAACAAATGCATTAATAAACTATGTTAGGCTGGCATGCCCATATGATGAAGGACAGTACTATTGGGAGCTTCAGCATTAAGGTCATCTTGTATAGTTTCGAACATTCTTGAGGAGGTCCTTTTCTTTTTTGTCTTCTCTATCCTTTGATCATCTGGGTGTCTGCCAACTTTCCAGTCCATCTGGAAGAAAACCTGAGATAGAGGACTAGACAAATGCATGCAAACATGCAGAGCCCTTTTATGTGTGGCCCTTAATCTCAGGCTGTTTCTTTCTTTCTCTAAGGTAGACAGCCTCTAGTGTGCTAGCAATTTTAGCACATGCCATATGAACCTTTTATTTGTAAATTACGGTGGGCTGTCTCAGGTTTTTCAAACTTGTGACCTAGTTTTGTTTTGTGCTCGTTGGGTTTTTTAGTTTTTAAATGCATGCTTTGAATCATTTTTGTTTTGTTTGAACACTAGACATGGGTAGTTTTTGTACTTCAATTTGTTTTCAATTTCCAGATGAAAGATGACGATTGAAAAAAAATACAATCCTCGGTGTTTCTTTGATGTGGAAATCGGAGAACAACCTGGTGAGTCTCTCAACATTTCAGTTTTGTCCCGCTTGTTTTTGGAGCAACAGAGTATGGTTTATGAGGCTCCAGTAGCTTCCGAACTCGTAAACTACCGTAAAGTACCACGGAATCGTCCACTCAAAATTTTGAGATAATTGCGAATGGTGGGGGATGGGCACTTGTTAGGTCATCAGTTTCATATATATGTGTACTGCTGCATATTTTTTCAGATCTTAACAAAATTTAGAGTTGGGCACTTAGTGCAGAATGGGCAGATGTTCGGTATCTTACGGTAACTTGCTTTTTTTATTTAGCAAAGGAGACCCCATATCTTCCTTGCAACAATTTGCTTCAAAGAGATGCCCTCCCATGGGCCAGCTTTCTCTGCAGTTTGAGGAACAGTGTACAGAATATTGTTCTTATTTACCCCGCTGTCGAGGCTCTTAAAAAAGTGAAAACCGTTTACAACTCCCTGTAACACCGAATTAGAGCGCAGCTCTTGAGGAGGAGGAGGGAAGGGTACTGGGGGGGTGAAGTGACCTGGGGGGGGGGGTCACGTGACGATGCCGACGATGTCATCAGTGACGTCATCAGTGACGATGACGATGCGGACTCCGATCACGTCATCAGCGATGACGATGATGACGATGCGGATTTCGGTGTCGTCATCAGTGACGTCATTGATGACATCAGTGCAGGGCCGTACCCAGAAAAAAATTTCGGGGGGGGTTTTGGGGGACAACGGCGGCCATTTTGAAAATGTCTATTGTCTTATTTTCGCCTATGAATCATGTGCATCGGTGGCATATAATGGAGAGTTATAGCAAACCGGAGAACCGGTCCCGGTTTGGTACCCGGTAGCCGACCGGTGCCACTGCGCGTGCGCAGAGGTGGAGATTAAAATCGGCTGGCTGCAAGTGCACCGACCAGGGCCATACTCAGAAAAAAATTTCGGGGGGGGGGGGGTCAGAACCCCCTATCCCCCCCCCCCTGGTTACGGCCCTGCATCAGTGACGTCACTGATGACATCATCCGTGATAATGACGATGCAGATGCCGGTGACCTCATCGGAGAGGTCACGTGACCTCGGCGGGGGGGTCACGTGACCTTGGGGGGGGGGGGTTACGTGACTTTGGGTGTCACATGACCTTGGGTGTCACGTGACCTTGGGGGTCGCATGACCTTGTGGTGACCTTGGCTGCGCCGACGCCGCTCAAGCCGGGAACGGGCCCCTAAGAGCTGCGCTCTAAAAAGTTATGAAGGCAGTCGAACCTGGAGGGAAGAATTCGAAAAAGAACCTCCTGGGGGCCTCAAACAGGCAGCCGACGTTTCAATAATAAATTCCACTTTTTTATGACTCCGAAGAAGCCAAGTCTGGTTCCTTTGGTTCAATGCACCTCTGGTTCAAAAGTATTGGGGTTTTAGCAGTACTGGTCGGCAAATCAAGCTCACCGATAAACTGGTCTAGTCTCACCACCGCAGTTGTTCAAGAAACGTCCTCCCGTCTTTAGCAGCAGAGTTGCAACTTAAAACAACAGATCATGTCTCGCACAGGGCCCTTATTCCTCTCAAAGGTGTGCCGCGAGACATTCAACCAAGGTTGATGCAGTGTGTGTCCGAGAATATTTTCGGTGGTTCTCTGCGGTGCACTAACGAGCTGGTCGAGCTTGAGCATCGCACAATGCTCAGAATGCTCTGACATCGATGTGAAGCAGCAAGTAAATTTCCCCAAAAAGCTTTAAATAAGTTTTAATTGTAGAAATAAGATATAACCGAAACTGAAACTAACCTGCAACTTTACTGGTCTGCCATCTTGTGACGTCGGATGTTTTATTAACACCAGCACACGGGCAGCTCGAGCCTGTTTCGCCCAACATCGGAGGGCCATCACGATCGTCTGTGGAAAAAAAGGAACTACAATTCATTTAGCTTGTGTTAGTCGAGCAACAACCAGGAAGTGTTTTACGATTTTCAGCATGAAATTTCAGACAATTCGTCGTTTGCATTCTAACCGCCGGCATAGTCTTCCAGGGGACCTTTCGTGGAGGCCACATTTGCAATCTGCCGACACGTGGACCCAGATGCCGCTTGAAGCAGAATGTTTTTTTTGCTAGTAAGCTGTAAACTTTTTTCAGAACGACGCGAACGCGCGGAGCCAGCATTCGCATCAAATGCTCGAACCCGCTTTCATTGCAGGGACTTCTTGGTTGGAAACCAATAAGATGTCACTCTGTTACATTTCTTCGTGGTGTTATTGCACCCCACAGCCAATCACCGATTCCCCCCACCCTCCATCGCATGCTGTAAGCGGCCTGAACCAGACGCAACTTGCAAAACTGCTGGCGTTCACTATCACTACAACGCACAATTTCGGGAAGTAGGGAGCGTCGTCTGCTCTCGGATACGACATTTGACGTCACGAGCGCCCGTGCTCGTTGCCAGAAGAGCAACAGCAAGTGATTTGGAGGTTTACGCGTAAACTTCATAATTCGTTTTCTCAAAAGAAAACAAGTATTTTGATTAAATATTTCATAGACATACTTAGAGGGGGATATTTAGTACATAGTGAAAATTTACAAAAGTCAATGATTATTAGTATTTTGCCGGAGCTCCTCTCTAACCAGAAAGTATTCCCAGTAGTGAAAGGAGAATTCTATATTTTCAGCCTAACGTTTTACCCAAACAAAAAAAATTGATTTAGAAGGGCCTTCGTCCTCTATCAATAGCAGACACAAACCGACCATTTGACACCACGATTCATAGATGGCACTAACTGTCGTTGGCCTGCACCATAGATTTATTATAATGTATGCTGGAGGTTCAAATAGAGCAAGTTGTGCTGTTTGTTGCAAACTGAAGCAGACAGCAACCAGTCAAAAATTCATTTCCGGTAATGTCTTTTTATGAGAAAAAGCAAGTGCATTTTCTCCCTGCGCTTGACTATACGAGCAAAAATCTCTCATAATTTGTACGTACTACGTTGATTGGAACATTTTTCAGTCACGCACTCCAAATAATTGGTCAATTACAGTATTTTTATTTCAAATTTATGTTGTTAAAAACGTCGCTAAAATGGCTTTGCACATGTATATTTGTGCACTGTCAGACACTGTTTGGTCGAAAACGGCGTCGGCGCTTTCTAGCATGGGGGATATACGTTCCAAACGAACGAAGGACGTGGAAAACCAAGGGAGACGGCAAGAACCACGCAGTAACACTGGATCGGTGACTCCTTGAGCATGCAGGCGATCAAAACAAATTGAAGGCCACATATATAGTCCGAATTGCAACAAATAAGTCCTACTTCATTTTTTTCTGCTCATGAACATGTGTGAAGATGCTTGTTCTGCATTCGGAACATCATCCACATGCTCGAAATCTTCGAAAATAGGGAGAAGCCAGAGAAAAGGTGCTTGATAAAAGCTGCTGGGCATAGGAAAGAATAAAAGGACACACCTTTTATAGCCCAGATACTTTATTCTTTATATTTCAAATGTTTTTAACCGCTCGTAAAGATGCACGACCGGGTCATTTTCATATATGTGATCAAACTTGCATATTAGCAATATATAAGCATGACTGGAATGCTGGCGAACCTTGAAAAGACTCTACATTCTTTCGATTGTTATTTTGCTTAGAATCGTCGCTCATTTTTATTTACCTGCTATGGAACAGACATTTGGGCCTGACATATAGCGAAGTTTAACATCAATCACTGGTAAAGAAAAATGCTGCACCTAACACTGGTAAAGAAAAATGCTGTAACTAAGCAATTACACTTTTACAGTGTTAAAAAAGGTATATACTATTCGGCACGACCCAAATCACAAAAGTTATCCATGTTATTTTCTGGCGAAGCTATGAAATGCATGCGCGTTTTCCCTTAGGAATGCGCAGAAGCACTGCAAAAGTAGACTGTTTGCTGTCTGCTTCAATTTGCCTCCCGGAAGTCGCATAGACATTAGCGCCAGTTGAACCTTCAGCGTACATTATAATAACTTAATGGTCTGCACAACAAAGCATATGGGGTTTGACGTGGCGGTGCCCTCTCGTGGAACTAAAAACTAGCGCCATCTATGACCGATGGTGTTGAAGAGTCACGCGATGCATGCTACCAATAGAGAGCGCTTTCTCTTAACTCAGGATCTTCGGAAAATCGCATCTAACTTTTAATTTGGGTGACGTATTGGGCTGAAGCTTTTACATCCTGCCTTTACTGCTAGGGCTACTTTCCGACAAAGTTTCAGTTACGCAAGGTGTAGCTTGTTTATGTGCTTAGAAAGGCGCCTAAATGTTCTGTCAGGCAGGTCCAGTACATTGTTGATTTCTGTGTTTAAGACTGTTGTTGATGAATGTATGCTTTCCCTCTTTTTGCATCTGCCTCGTAACAGCCGGGAGGGTTGTCTTCGAACTCTTTGCCAATGTCTGCCCCATAACTTGCGAGAACTTTCGATCCCTCTGCACAGGTGAGAACTGTTTAGAATCACACTTAACCCTGTTTGTCTCTCAATAAGTTGGCAGCTGTGTTTGAGACTTCATGTCTTTTCCATGGATCCCATATGCTTCTCTCACTCTTGGGTATCCATCGTGCTGCACTTTCTCGTTATGGTTGTAAAATTGTTCTTTAAAATTTACCTTTCAATCATGAGCTCTCTGCGTTTGATAACACTTAGTCCCGTGTGCAGCCAAAGCCCAGCAGAAATCAATGAGCATTTGCTAGAGGCAGAGCTTCTTGCTGGATTCTTAGCTTGTTACCAACTAGAGTTGGATTTTCTTGCTGGCAGACTTTAGGCTTTACCACAATTTCCTTGACTCCAAGTACATTGTTGAAGAGCAACTCGCTCCTTGTATGAATAATGTCCATTGTGTTTTTTTTTTTTCCTTGTTTTTTTTAAAACTTTTTTGCATATACCAAGTTTTTGTGACCATACATAAAATTGTTCTGAGCTCCAATCAATATATATATATATATATATTTTTTTTTATAAAAGTTCAAACTGCACTGAGAAAACAATGGCGAGTATGAAGGAACTTACAAAACAAGCACTGGCTTGTTTCCTATTACCACTCATCCTACTGACTGTTTGTTGTGATGTATAACACAGATTCCTTGCTGCCTTTTTTACTTGACGTTCACTCCAAAGGTTGTGTGTGTGGCACCATCTTTTTTTAAAGAAGTGTTCAGCTAATATTTGGTACTTGATTCGTCCACTTCTCCAACTTGGTCCTTGTTTGTTGGCTGCCGGTATTGTTCTCATTCAAAGGTGTGAACCAGCTAGCTCTAATTCGCTGATTTGACATTTGTTCAGTTCTCTTTGCCTGCTCTCCTCTTCAATACACCTTGGATGGGTTAACGAGTCGTCTGTACGGGATGACCTTTGCCCGCAGGAGAATGTGGCATCGGCAAGACGACGGGAAAGCCGCTTCACTACAAGGGCGTGAAGTTCCACAGAGTCATCAAGAGCTTCATGATCCAGGGGGGCGACTTCTCTGTCGGTGAGTCGCACCAGCCAGTCTTTCCGAGAGACATCAGCAAGCGAGAGCTGTAAAAGTTAATTAAGCTTCAGTTACTGGGACTGAAATGTTACATGACCTGTGTTCTAGTTTAGACGGTGGATTTGAAAGCGCAAAAGACTGAGAAGAGAAGGAGGGGACAGGACAGAGCGCTTTGTCCTGTCCCCTCCTTCTCTTCCCAGTCTTTTGCGCTTTCAAATCCACCGTCTAGATGTTCAACCAACTAGCCCCCCAATTAATTCTGATGCAAATTCTGGTGTTCTAGTTACTTATTAAATGTTTCATGACGTTCAGGTGGCTGCAATCACTGGCCAACACTTCAGTTTTCCACGTGGATAAAGTATTGGTATAGTTGCATCCTCATTTGGCAGCCTGTTCACAGCAGTGTTTGAGGTAGTAATGGTGCATGGCACTGATTTTGGGACTAGATCGATGTGAATGTGGGCATTTGTCAACATCTTTTCGAGAAGTGTAATTGAAGTAAGTTATAGGTAGGGCTCTGTGTTTTCATAGTTTATTTTTTGTCAAACTCTGAGGGTGTTTTTTTTTAGTTTATTTTTTGCCAATAATTCTGATTTTATTTTTGTTAGATTTCCAACTCTTGGGAAGTCTAAATTTATTTTAGTGCTTCCTTACTAAATATATACATATATCTAGGTGCAAATGTGTTAGATTCAAAGGAATGTGCTTGTATAAGATAATATTTTGTCAGCTGGATTGACTTGCCATTTGTAATACTAATCTGTCCCACAACAAAACTTTCAAACAACTGTTGCTTTGATGGACATTTATACGTTAAAATCACTAAACTCCAGGAAGTATTCGCTGGGAGGCTCATTTTCATCCCGTCCTATTCCATCACCTTACCCTGTGGCTGCGCAAGCTGGAGTGACAAAGGGTGTAATATAAAAGCTTCAAAAGCCCCCCACCCTTCTCCCTTCCATGAAATGTCTATGCTTCATAGCTTTCAGTGTTGCAAATACAACCCATCCTTTTCTCTAAGAAGCTCGAATAGTATGGTCCATCCAAGCTGGAAACCGGAACCATGGCTTTTGTCATGACCCAAAACACAATGACCTGTTGTCTGGAATGAACCTTGACGAGATAAATGTAAAGACCCCTTTTGGTTAATGACCCGAGAAGTGAGAGGAAACAGGAGTGGTATTTTTTCGAAACCACTGACCCTATGCTCTGACCAAACTTAATTGTAAAATACTCTAAACGACTTAATTTTCTCGAGGACCTGATTTTCACGAATTTTGCAAATCGCCTTCAATTTGCGAAAAATGAGTCCCGCGAGCAGTTTTGGTAAAATGTAAACACATTGGAATCTACGGTATATTGAGATCCCTTTATGTCTCGAAAATTAGAACCTGCAAATTATTCTAAAACTTCAGCTTTGACCTAAATCGCGAAATATTGAGCCCGCAAATAATAGGTCGTTTACAGTACCTTCTTTTCTTTTTATTTATTTTCTTGCTTTAGGATATTGAAGTTTTGAGTTTATCGGATAAATCTAAATTGACAGCAATTCTGCTGGCGTGTTTTTTTTAGAGTTTTTCAGATTTATTTGAAAACAAGGAACCCTAGTTAGAGGTCATCCCAAATGTGTAAATAAATTACAGTTACAGTTATTAAAATTTTGTTGTAACTGACAGATTTTTTATGTTCTGAAATAGTAACTGTTCAGAATAACTTAAATACTTTTATTTTGCTGCCCTGCATTGACACTCTTAACATTTTGTTTTCTCTTTCCTTAAACTTTACCAGGCAATGGAAGTGGCGGTGAATCCATTTATGGCGGAACGTTCAAAGGTAGGGAATTCCCTGGAAAAAGTTTGTTTTAATGCTTTATGATAAAATGCTGAAAAAACGTCCAACCTTGGGGAAAAAATAGATGGTAACATGTATAGGGTGGGTGACTTTTCAGCATGCGAAAGCAAAGTTTTTATCTGAAGTGAGCAATGAACATGCAAACACCCGCTGCAAACCCACGTGACGCAGGAACCACTGCAAAGTCACGTTCAACGGTGCTCTTTCTTGACTCGAATAATGTGGGGAGTGATTTTATTAATTCAAAGAGGATATGATTTTTAATGCATCTAATAACAATTGGAACCTTTTCACGAGCAACTCATACGGTCTTTGCTGCTTGTGCCAGCCACCTGTATGCCACAGTGGTGCGTGCATGGAAGAGCATCACTATTAGGTGGCAGCTTGCGCCACCTGACAGATAGTGGGAGCGGCAGAAAGAGGCACGTGGGCAGCACGCCTCCTCTGCTGTCGGCTAGGTGGCGCAAGGTGCCTTCCATTTTAGTTTTTTTTGTGTGTGTGTGTGTAATTGTTTTTACCTACCACTGGATGTAGCAATGGGCTGATGTATAAAAGAGTAAACTAGTATTCCTGCAAACTCGCTCGTAGCAGTTCTTTGCTTTGCTATTTTTATCACCGTGATTGTGGTTAAAACATCCTTAATTCCAGTAGAAGCATGGCCACACATTTCCCTCTGCTCTACTAGGAGTGAGACACCTGAAGTCCATTTGGACCAGGGCTGTGCAGCATCGCGATACAGTTAGAGTATCTTAGAGATACTTTTGAGTATCTGTATCTCTGTATCGAGATACATTTGTAAAATGTGTTTGTATCTCAGTAGTGAAATACATTTACAGTGTATCGCTTGTATCGCTATACTTTGCACGACTTAGGCATCTCGTTACGTTTGTTGCCTTTTTTAAGATAAATATTAGGGGTGAAAACATCTGTTTGGTGCAACTGGCTTCGGAATTTATAATATGAACCTGCCCTATAACATAATCCATGTCAGTCACCAATAATAAAAAAAATATTGTGGTTTAAAGAAGGTTACTTGCAAGAATAACAAAATCAGCTCCTCTCACAAAGCCCTCCACTCTTTCCAATTGGAGAAAAAGTATGGCCCTCTTCTCCAATCTCCCTACAGTATGGGTGACTCAGAGGCTTATAATGTTACAATTTGAGATGCGCCCTCACCGCAAAACAAGGTTCATTTCGGGCAGACGCCTTTTGTCAAGCATGGTAGTACGCAGTCTTTACCGTTCTGTAACTATGTGGTTCAACGGGGGTGGCTTGTTTTTTTAGCGGAATTAATGATAGATAAAGAGTTTGAGGCAATGGGTAGTGCATAAAATGGCACAAAAAGAGGAGCGCAAGCATAAATTCGCATTCGCCGCGAACTGCACCTTCTCCACATAGCACCGTTCGGGAACAAATGTATTTCTATGAATATCTGTATCTGTATTCTGGAGTACTTTTCTGCTGTTATTGCAGAAGTATCTCAGGGATATCCCGTTGCGTAAAAGACAAATGTATCTCAGTATCTGTATTTTGGCCTTAAAACACATGTATCTCAGTATTTGTATTCCCGAATACGTTTTGCAGTATCTCTGCCCAGCCCTGATTTGGACATTGCAGAACTTTTATGCTATTTTTGCCCTACAAGCATTTAGTTTAGAAAATGGGGATTGTTGACCTTTCGGGTGTGTTCATTTGTTCTAGATTTTACGGTAGCAGTGGTGTTGCGTTGCAGAAGGTCAGCTACTAAAGCTTTGCTTTGTTGGCTTTTCCAGACGAGTGCTTTGACATGAAGCATGATCGTCCTTACCTGCTTTCCATGGCTAATCGTGGGAAGGACACCAATGGGTCGCAATTCTTCATGTGGGTTTGTTTGGATCTGCTCATGTTTTGTGAGACTTTCATGTTAGTTGGCACGTTCGGTTTTGTCGGGGGCTTCATTTCCGCAATATTCAACATTCTCTCCTCGTGTTGCTTTATCTACAGGCTAGATTTGAGTGAGTTTTCATAAATAAATTAGTAATAAATTTTACGAACCTCCATTCTCCCCTTAGCGTGATTTACAAACATGATTTGGTAATTTTCTTACATAGGGTATATATTAGTGTGTGTCTGGGGGGGGGGGGGGGGGGGGGGGAGCATTTTTTTTAAGGTTTTCCTACCAGCTTTCACTGTGGCACAATGCATGTTTAAAAATTTTGGGGTGAGCTAAGTTCTCTAGTTTTGTGGCTGAATTAAGGGTTATGATGTCTTCAAGTGGCGAAAGTTAGTGCTGCCACTATCCCGTAGACAGGGACGTCTTTGTAGGAAGGTTTTTAGTTGCCACGGTGAAACACCAGAGGCACATGGCGTGTAGCACTGGACAGTATTTAGAAAGCTTCGAAAAACCCTGCCAAGTTTCTGAAATGTGCTGATGTGTGACCCTTTGTTCTACATACTGCCCTCTAATTCGTATCACCTTTTGCTGATGTGGGTTTGGTCTGTATTTCAGAACAACTCAGCAGACCCCTCATCTTGATGGGTAAGCCCCTCTTCATTCATTTTAACTCAGTACTAAAACCTTTATGGAAAAGTCAGTTTACCAAAGAGACTGTGAAAATAAAGAGCACAAAGGGCTAGGACAAGTTTTAGAACTTTTTTTATTTTTGTGATGTGTAACCAACTAGGCCAAAAGTTAATTTTAATACCAAGGAGTGTCTCTACTGCACTAGAACCTTTCCCATACCACTATAGCCCAAATGTACTATAACCATTACAAGGTTGTCACAATTCAATTAACTCCACATTAGAAAATAAAAATTTCTGTAAGCTTGTATTTTGCAAATTTTGGTACTGGCTTGAGCTTACTGATATAATAACAGAACTTAACACATTTGTTTTTGTGTGTGCATGAACTCTCTTGTGTTTGAATATTGTGTTTAGCCCCCACCCCACTCCTGGTTAAGTTTTATGCTGTACCCGAGCACTGTTGCTTAGACTTCATTCTTTGGTTTCTAGCTGGAAAATTTTGGCTTTTAATTATGTAACTTTCTGCCCCTACCATTTCATTGGAGCATTAGCCAGAAGTTAACAAATCTCTTTTGTCTGGTATGCAGACAAATTCTTTGTTCCCAGAGAGCCTAGCAGTTTGTTCTTTAGCAGGAACTGGGGCTGCAACTTGCTAGTGCCCTTTATATGCAGTGCTCAAAACAAATGCTCTTGTGTTTACTCCAGAATGAGGTTGTTATAAGAAAAACAAAGTTGGATGCTCTAAGGCAACGTCCTTACATGCCAAGCTCCAGAGCAGCAGTGCCCCCCCAAGCTCGAGCATCAGCCACACTTCGCCTGTGCAGGCGATGCATGGTTGTGGATAAGGATGATGATGTGGATGATGAGAGTCGTGAACTTGCACCGTTATACTGTATACTTTTTTATGAACAGATCCTGCACTTTATAATCTTTTTGCACAGCGTTTGTAGGGACGCAGTTGTTGTAATTCAAGGATGAGGACCGGCTAATGATGAGGCACGAATCACATTTGGAGGGGGAGCGGAGGTAGCTACTTTATTCCAATAGAGTGGGTGTGGTTCCTGAAATGCATTTCCATCTGGTGAATTTATCAAAGTGTCCTCGAAACAACGACAGGGTGTCTCATGAATATGTCACAGAAGCCCGTAAAACAGGCGTGTGGACCCCTGGTGGTGTTTCACCGCAGTATTACATTGTTGCAACGTCAGCTGTTGGAGAGTGAGGAAGGGAAGTAAGGACGCAGTAAACGAGCCAGTTGGAGATGCTTTCCTGGCGTCATAGTTTAGGTGCCACTGTGGGTGTATTCTGTATTCTTTATTTCAGACAAAAAGGTGTGAGGGGCTAAGTCAAAAGAAGACAAAATTGTCTTCTGACGGGACCCTAGCCCCTGGTTGCAGCCGACACGTTTCCTTTGGGGTGCTAGTGCTGAGGGTGGCACTCGGCCATGTCGCCTTGCAGGGTGCACGTGGTGTTTGGCCAGGTGATCAAGGGCGAGGAGGTGGTGAGGGAGGTGGAGAACCAGCCGACGGACGACAACAGCTGCCCCTTGCAGCCGGTGGTGATAGCCAACTGCGGGGAGCTCGTGCTCAAGCGCAAGCAGAAGGGTGACTCCCCACTCTGTCTTTTTCTCCAGAGCCATACGACCTCGACTTAGGAAGTTGTTTAAGTTCCGGTTGTGGCTACGCTAGCTGAACTGTATTTTTAATTTTAACGCAGAATGTGTCAACTGGTTGGCTGCTAGCACTTTTCTGTAGTGCAGATTCCCAAAACTGAACAGCGTCGCACAAAAACCCGCCACGATGAAAAAGTGCAGGAGAAAGCGTGGAAGAGCTCAGTTTCGAATCAGGTTTCCTTTGTTTGTGAATTCGATGCTTCTTTGCAGTGCGCCTGTGCTTGGTAAAAGGCAAACTCAACCAAGTAACCCGCCGCGAAGAACACTTGGAAAAGTAGGAATACAGTTGCCGACCAATTTTTCGGACTCGGAGGGACCCCCAAATTGTCCAAATAATCAAACGGTCCAAAAAATCGATTTCAGCCAAAATATCAAATTTCTGGGCATATTCCACTGTGTATTGGCCACCTTACACTCACTTGATGTTAATTTTAAGTTCTTGTGCAACTTCCGCTTTATATTGTTCACTTTTCACTTGTTTGTTGATCTGTTTGATCTCAGTACTGCACTTTGTCAGTGCCTTCGTTGGCACAAACAGCGAAGTTGAAGGTGGCACCATTTGGCACTAGTTGCAGACAATGTTTAGTCCACCAAGCTCGCTCCAATAGTAAGCTACTGTCGGCAGAAATCCTTAGCGCTCAAAGACCACAAGAATGGCAGCCGGTCGCTCTTCTCGCAGTCACGCTCGAAAAACGTGGACCAGAAGAAGAACTGGAAGAGCCATAAGAATGGGCAGTTGGCGGCCACGTTGGCTATAGCAGAACCAGAAAAGCCAACTGTAGCCTCAATCCAGCTTGTTTATTGCGTAGGACGTGGTATCGAGGCTACAGGCCAAAATCAAAACAACCAAAAATGCGGTAACTAAGCTAAGCTCGCAGCGCTATCGCGGCGGCTGTCTTGTGGCTGTAAACAGGAAATCACACAAATTATGTCCGAAATATAGAGCAATAAGCTTTATGGCATCCGAAATTTCGGTCAGTGTTATACATTAACTCTATGGGGTGAGTGACAGTTCGGCGAAAACGTCCGAATGATTGAACAAGTCCGAAAATCCGGTCAGTGACTGTATGGCATTCAGGTGCTTAGGAGGGAAGCACACTTTCAAAGCAGGATGGTGCACATGCACACCTGGTGTGTGAAAGAAACAAAAACTTTGTGAATGTTGATATCTACATGGCACTAAAATTTTCAAAATTAAGCCATGACTGTTATGCTAGAGTGTATGTTAGGCAGAGGTGCCTCGACGCTCTGCATTCATCATTCTTGACTCGTTTTTTTTCTTACATGTTTGAGATTGGACAAAGAATATTTGCATGTAGCAAAGTTTGTAAATCCACTTAATTAGGTATACCTGGGCATCTCTATAGGTTTAGTTTTATGACACATTCATTGTATACTTGCCATCACACAGCATCAGATTTTATGAGGTCACAGTGCATAAACATAGTTTAATATTAGCTCATAAATGGACAAATGTAAGCTCGGGAACAATCTTCACGAGTTCAGCTGGGTGTTCGTTTAAGCATGGTGCAGCAGTAGGGAAAGACTTGGGGAAACTATTTAATATTCAATTAATTCGCTTCAAATCCAAAGTCCACTATTCGCACATGACTAAGGAAATACGTACCTAGGCCTTGCACGCAACATCACCACAAAGCAACACGCATCACATTTTCCGTTACCACTGCCTTTGTCGCGGCATTACGGAAAGGGGCAAATATTTTTCTCCTTTCTCGCCATCGCAGACAAGAGACACAAGAAAACGGCCTCAAGCGCGGCAAGCAGCGACGCAGAGTCCTCCTCGCCCGAGAAGGCGGGAGAGAAGCGGCACAAGAAGCGCCACAAGCACCACTCCAAAAAGTCCAAACGGGAGAAGCACAAACGCAAGGAGGACAGGTCAGTCAGCTAGGGAAGGGGGAGAGCGGAACAATGGGGGGCATGGGGTGGTTTTATCTGGAAAGTCAGACTCCATGGCTTCGGACATTGTTTTTTTTTTTTTTTTTGTGTTTTTTGTGAAATTAGTTGTGGAACCTGGCCTGAATGGGGTTTGTGCAGCCGAGGTGCCTTTTTGAGTAAAGAGCTCGCACTTGTAGCCTAGTAGTGGTATTGCCGTTATGGTTGATTTACGTAAGAAAGGGCTGAGAAGCAAATATTTAAATGAAGCAATACTGAGCTCTCACCCCCCCCCCCCCCCCCAACCCTGCAAAAAAACAGAATACCGTAGAATACCGCACATCCGTCCATTCCACATTTAGCTTCCATTACCAAATTTGTAAGATCTGAGAAAATATGCACAGTACATTTATTTGTAAAATTGATGACCAGACGACAAGCGCCCATCCCCCATTTTTTTTTTCAGTTATCTCCAAAGTTTGAGTGGGTGCTTGTCCGGTATTTTATGGTAGTGCTAAATGTATGAATATGTTATATGAGCAGAACTTCTTTCCAGCTGAAATGACTCGACACTATAAAACTATTATTTATGATGCATATAGCACTCGAGAGATGGGTACGGGGGCTCGCAGCCGCGGGATGTTTCTGGGCCCCGTCCCAGAGGGTCGCAGGCCGCATGTATGAGACCCCCGATCTAGTGGGATTACGTACAGTTCTGGCAAGCTGTTTAGGTGTAGAAGCATCAAATGAAAATACCGAAGGCAAAAACTTGTCACCTCTCTTCTATTCGGTTTTGTTTTGGCACGTCTGCTTCCGCTACCACCAGAGCGACTGGTATGTGAAGTGAGTGTCACGTGCGCGGAGCGTTTTTTTTGAAAGCTGGAAATAGCCCAGCAGTGCGAAACAATGTGCGAATATATCTTTTATAGTTCGTCAAAGACAGAACAAATGGCAACACGTCCGGTGGTGTGCGCAGTTTCGCTTTCAGGCAGGCACTTTCAATTGTGTAATCACCGATGACCGTCAAATGGTTAAGCAGACGACAGGCACTGTATCCATCACCACATGGGAAAAATCTTTAGTGAGAAGTCACCAGTCAGTTAATAAGGACAGCCAAGTCGCACGTAGGTGTGTTTCTAGATTGCTACTCGTGAAAACTCGTTCCCCATCGAAACTCTTAACCTCTCTCAGGCAGAATTTTGTTAGTTTCAATTCCAAAACGAATGCCACTTTACGGGCGACTCTCTGTGAAGTTTGTCAACAGGGGCCATGTTTTGGAAAAGATTTTCTACAAGTGGGCACAGTGTGCGACATTTGCAGTGGTGGAGGTGCTGCACCATTTCTGCCAAACTGCACCAGAATGAGCAGCCTGTTAAATACTGCTCCAAGGGCTGCATTTGTGCATGATTTGCACCATGTCTGCGCCAAAAAAGAACCATTCTCGAAAAAAAAAAAAAAAGTATCTGGCACATGGCATTGTTGGCGATGCCACTGAAAATTAAGAGAGCACAGTTGTTGTTTTTTCGGATGCCTAAGTACAGTGTGCAAAGAGTAGGGTTTTGCGGATATTCGAATTTTCAAATACTAGTTTCAAGTAATACGCTATTTGATATTCTCTTCAAAGTGCACTGCAATAGTGATGCTTTTCTATGCGTTGATCGCGGCGGGTTAGCTTCCTTGAGTGCGCTTCTCCTCATGCACCGGTGCACCGCAGAGAAGCAATACACCGCGGAGCTGACACCGCAATCTCGCAACACGCTTTGCCGCAGCGGAGCCGCGCTTTTAAGGAAAAAAACAGATCTCCAAAGTGGTTTAATGCACGCGCATTCCTGGCTCATTAAAAAAAAATTAAAAAGAGCAGGAAACATGGTGATTGTTGATATTTACAATGCAGTAAAATCTTCAAAATTTAACTGTGACTATTATGCATGGGTACATGTTTGGCAATGATGTTCTAACAACCTGTGCTCATTATTTGTGTTTGTAATTTTTTTTTTTTAACTTCAGAATTAAAGAAAATATTTGCATGTAGCAAAAAGATTTATAAGTCCCCTTCATTTAGGCATGGCTGGGGTCCTTTATAAATTTAATTTTATGTAAAATTTGTCGTTTATTTGTGATCCCACTGTTGGTTTTGGACTTCTGGGGCCACAATCTATAAATATAGCTAGATTAAATTTAACAAAGCTTATAAGTGAGCAATTAGAAGCTTGTGAACTACCTTTGTGAGTGCAGCTGAATTTTTGTTTGAGCATGCTTAACAGTAGCGAAAAGCATGGAGAACGGCACAGCAGCTATTCAATATTTTATTAAAAAATATTCGGCCAAAACCACGATTAATTTTGAATTTGCTTCGAACCGAAAATCTATTATTTGCACATGCTTAACAAAGAGTTTGTCGGTTTTTGTGCAAACGGTGCTCACATCGATAGCACTGAATAGCTAGCGCTATTCAATGTGATCGGTTAGAGTAGCTATGCGTTCCGCTTAGCTACTGTATGAACAGCAGCAGGTGGATTACGAGCAAGAGCAGCATGATAGAAACACTATGAAGTACAGTGCAGTCCACTTATAATGATACCACTTATAACGATATATCGGTTATAACGATTGATTTTATAGAAGCATCAATTTTTGCATTGGTTCTATGTAAAAATAAACCATATATAGTGATGCATTTTTCCCGGCATATCGGACATAACGATCAATAAATGATCGCGTAAAATGTGTTTACTACGAAAATTCAACAAAAAATTAGATAAAAATTGTGAAATTCCGCGAAAAAACGACCGAGATCAGCGAACGCGATCATCGCCGATGGGCCCCGACCGAATACTCTGTGAGTAGGCGCTGCGCGCGGCCTTAAAACTTCGGCGCTATCATCATCATCATACCCATAACCTCGTAACCCCTCCCCGCCCTCCTCTTCCCCCCGTTGCTGGCGTGAAAGATGGCTCCGACGAAGCGAAAAGCTATCTCCTTCGAGGAGAAAAAGCAAATCCTACGTGATTGGCGGCAAGGATTCAAGGTCGGAAGTCTCGTCCGGAAGTATGAGCACTCTCAGTTGACGATATTGACCATCCTGAAATCCGGCGACGTCGTAATGAAGAAGGCTGGAACTAGCGGCTTTGACGACCAGCGGAAAAGGCTTAGGGAAGCCTTGTACAAGCTGTATGCACACCGCGATAGTCAAGCTCCTGCTGCCGCACAAGCAAGCGGAGATCTTGGATTTTTTTTTAGCATGTTTGACACCATTTCATTGCGTGCTTGCTGATGACCCTACAATACTAAAACTCTGTTATATTGTGGCGCTTCTTCTATGGTGTGATTCAGTGAACACTGGTGAGTAACCTTCTGCTTGGGGGAACTATTTTGGGCAGTTTTCAGGGTCAGTCCGGATACAACGATAATCGGTTATAACGATCGGATTTTCCGCATTTAATAATATTGTTATAAGTGGACTTCACTGTAGCCAGAAACATCTTTTAACGTCAAACATAGACCGAAGATGCCATCGGTACTCCTAATAGATTAATTGAGGCATCTGCAAAATAACCCCCATAAGAATGTTAAATAAATAAATAAATACCTGTAGCAGCCATGTTCTCTGTAGGTACGACACTTTAAACAGTCTCCCAACGCTCAAACAACTGCAGTTTTTTCCACAGGCTAACTTTTAAAGAGATCATATTAAACTTTTCTGACATGAGAGCTTAAAATTGTCTGCTCCAAAAGTGGGAATATCTGCTCCACAATCTGTTTTTCTCTGCTGCAAGAGCTGCTCCAAATCACCACTTGTCAGTTCCAACACTGCATATGTTGGGACGTTACTTCAGAACGGTAACATCCCGTAGGAGTGACCGATAGGGCCATACAGTCGCCAAATGATTTCTCGGACTCCGAGGGGACCCTGAAATTGTCCAAATAATCATTGGGCCCGAAAAATCGATTTCAGCCAAAATGTCATATTTCCGCGCATATTCCGCTGCGTATTGTGCACTTTCCACTTGCTTGATGTCATTTTTAAGTTCTCGTTAACTTCCACCTTATATAGTTCACTTTTCACATGTTTGTTGATCTGTTTAATCACAGTGCTGCGCTTTGTTGGCTCCTACGTTGGCACAAACAGCGAAGTTGAAGTTGGCATCATTTGGCACTATTGGGAGACAAGGTTTAGTCCACCAAGCTCACTTCAATAATAAGCCTATCGACAAAAAACCTTTGCCCTCAGAGACCACAAAAACGGCAGTTGGCAGCTCTTCTCGCGGTCGCACTCGAGAAACGCACACCATGAGAAGAACTCGAAGAGCCATAAGAATGGGCAGACAGCAGCCATGCTGTCTTTAGCGGAACCAGAAAACCCGATTATAGCCTCAACCCACCTTGTTTATTCTGTAGGTCGTGATATTGAGGCTACAGGGCAAAATCAAAGCAACCAAAATGGCGGCTACTAAGCTCGCGGCGGCTATTTTGTGGCTTTAAACTGAGGAAATCATGCAAATTATTTCCGAAATATCGAGCAATAAGCTTTATGGCATCCGAAATTTCGGTCAATGTCATACATTAACTCTATGGGGTGAGTGACGGTTTCACAAAAACGTCCGAATAATCGGCGTCCGAAAAATCTGTCGGTGACCATACTTTTCACCGTAACTTGGCAAAGGGCAGATGCTATGATCCCCTGGGGCCAATAAAGGTAGTGAAGGCGAAGCACATGACAGCCCTTACCAAAGAGGCGAGAACTTTATGCAAGCAGTTGGAGCAGGGGTGAAGGAGGAACTCTCCTCTCACCCAGACCCTCTTCTGTGTGTTTGGGGTGTCACCTTTGTCCCCCTAGAAAATTTGTCTGTCCCTCAAAATTCATACAAAAGCGGCTCTGACAGCAGTGTGTGTAACTAGCGAGATAGAGTAGTCACGTGCCTCCCTTTAACGTTCTTTGGCTCACTGTACTCCGTTTCACCTCACGTCCAACCGCAGCGGACGCTCCGAGCCACCTCGGCCAATCCTGCTCCGTGAGCGTAGCGCATGATGTGCTTTCCGCTCATTTGTGCACCCCTTTTTCAAGGTCACGTAACACTTGCGCAACTTTGGATCGGCTCCGACGGCTCGTGGCATCCACTGCCGTTGGTTGTAACGTGAAACCGAGCATAGAAACCATTGTCTTTGCAGTTTGCCAAGTTGCTGCGAAATTGAATATAGCACTCGTGCAGCACACCTTGCAAGTTTTGTGGCAGTTGGGAGTTGGGAGAGGTGTCTGGGACTAACCTGACTGGTGCCGGTTGATTCTCCCGCTTGTGCCGATGGCGGCGAGAACCAAGGGTCTCCTTTTTGTTCCGGTGCAGCCCTGCGAAAGAGGCTCAGGACGACGACGGGGACGTGTTCATCATCAAGCCGGACGAGATTCCCGAGATCCCGGCCAACAACTTCCTCATGAGGAGAGTGCCCGCCGAAGCTGACTCAAACTTCGGGTGAGTCCAACGGGGATCGGTGGCCGAGCGCATCGGCGCACCGCGGGCTGGAGTGTGTAGAGCGAAAGCTCGCGCCGCAAAACCCAGGAATTTCGGGTTCGGTCCTCATCCCCCGCTTGTTTCGATGCGGTTGTGCGTCGTACTGGCGTGTGGTTGTGTATCGCTGGCATGTGGTGCGCGTTGAAGGCCCGAGGCTAGCGGTTGTACTGCACCGGCTGAATTTCTCATCCGCTTCATAAACCAGTTTCGCCGCACCTCGAAAGCAGTCCGACCTTACGCCATATAAAAACAAACTTCAATTTTGTCCTATTGGAGGGGGAGTCTGAGGAAACATGCCAGAATAGGGTGGCATCGACACTCGAGCACATCTCTATTTAGCCGGAAAAATCGACGGGCCAGCCGAAATTTTCCTTGAGTGGGCTCTTCCGGGGTTGGCTCTGTCTCGCGAAATTTCAAGGTTTAACTTTACAGCCATGAGAAGCGAGAATGAAATCCTTGAAAATTCAATTCAAATCAACGCCGATTGGATTCTCTCTCATTGAGAAGATAGGATTGTATTCGAAAACACAAACATAGAGCAGTCACCGAAGGCAGTTCAGAGGCTGCTTCTTTCGTCGGACTGCTCACGGTAGTTTATTTTAGGCCAATGGAGAGGGCTCGATGAGTGTATAAATGCAATTCTTGGCAAATAAAGTAACGACGTTTGTGGTTGTCAGTTCTTCGTCCCAGTATGGTGCTAGATACAGACGTGGTACGCAGCCCACCCTAGTTTTTGCATTTCCTTCGTAACCTCGCTTCCTCCGAGAGCTGTGGTGGTTGTTTGCTGCACAGGGCGCCCGACAGGAGGATGGGAGGCTTCTACAACCGGCGCCCCAAGATCTCACGGTCCGGTCGCAAGATCAAGGGCAGGGGCTTCATGGTGAGTGGGCACCAGACAAGGAAGCAGGGCGGCGGAGGGGGGCATACGATTTCAATTGCGTCTCCTACTGGCGCTTTTCGTGCCCCGTGTTTGAGTGTCCCTGGAACAGCAACAAGACCTGTCGCAGCAGCCACCGAGTAAAAGCAGGTTCATGCACTTGCGGCTGCTTACAACCCAGTGCGTTAAAACCTCTTGCAATCTCTTACGACGAGAGTACACACTGGTGCCATTTATTGGGTAGCCATAAAACACTCGCAGTTTTTGTATATTTTTAGAGCCTTATAGTCCCAACCACACTCAGGGTTATGTCCTCAAAATCATGTCCTATAAGGGTTGTAACGCCCGTGGCTGAAGCTCAAGGTCGCGTAATCAAGGTCACGTAAGCACCAGTTGCCTAAGCTCCGTTCACATAAGCCGCGGTTGCTGAGGTTGACGTGACCTGACATCCTAGAGGTCACCGTAGACGTCATTCTTGATGTCTTTTTTAAACGTCGTCCTAGACGTCGTTTGAGAGGTCGTCCTTGACAACGTCAAGGACGACTTCGAGGACATTCATCACATTTGGTAGAATCAGTGTGCTTGTAATTTTTTTTGTTGTCTCGTGCATCATTCTTTATTTATTGGATCGATAAATATTGAACAATGCTATGAACGGCCGTTTTGCATATGTAGTATGTACGTTTGATCCCACAAACACTTCAGAACCCTCGCTTTAGGAAAATGGACTTCCAGGGCCTCCTCGTAGACAGTGCCGCATGCCAGCGCATTCTCTCGTCGTAAGAGATCGCAAGAGCTCGGTCGTAGGGAAACGCAAGATTGTGAACCAGATTTAATCCCATAGATCTTCGTGGTTTTGCCATTGAGAAAAGACGATGAGCATACCCAGGCTTCGCTGTTGCGACAAACTGAAGTCATTGAATGGGAATGTGTCGAGAGAGCTAGAGCCGAACTGGCACATCTCATATGCATGTGCGCTTCCATGCTGCCTCTAGGAATACTGCAAACGCCAGAGTTTTGCACATTTTAGGCATCTAGTGATGGGTGCCAGAAGCGAAGACCTCGAGTTCCCGTGTTGGCACCGACACTCGTCGTGGAAGGGATTCCGCAACACTCCTTGGGTTCCGTTGCGGTGCGTCCCCTCCAACACGCGTGGTTGAAGCAGGGCTTGGCGTCTGTTTCAGAGGTACCGCACCCCGTCCCCGGAAGGGGGCCGCTCTGGCAGCGAGACCCCTCCCCACTGGAAGCAGGCCCAGTCTCGCATGAAGCCCCTCAAGGAATACCTGGACCTGGCAGGAGACGGGGAGGATGAACCGTGAGTGGTGCAACCTCCGTTCCCCTCCCTCTCCTCTTCATCAAGGGGAAACACTGGTTTTCGAGCTTTACTCCTTATTGTTTGGCTGAAGTCGAAGAAAGTGCGCGGGTTTATTCAGCCTTCCTTGCTGGTTGCAAATATCTGGTCAGTTTTCCCCGACAATAGATCAGTCCTCAAGGTAATTGAAACTTGCCTGGCTTTGTTTTCAGAAACAATAGGGAAACGTCTACTCAACAAACAATTCTGTTTAATACATTTACAGATACCACAAAGTATAAGGACTACAATTTTGGAAGTACTTTTGAGATTGAACCATTATTAGTGACTAATAAAATAAACTGTTGGGCTAGTTCACCCCCCCCCCCCCCCCCCCCCCCCCCCCGGGACCAAGGAATTTGGTCATCCCGTTGGCATTTTATTTATGAGGCCTCTTCGCGCTCCTTCTTTTGTGGGTACAACAGAAAGGCTTTCAAGGGCACTTTGTGAGGGTTTGGCAAGTATATGAAAGCGTCAGTGTCATGTGAAGTCACTGCACCACGCGGCATCATGTTGTGACAGCGTGCATCTAACATAATGAAGTATTTAGCTCACAAAGTAGAGAAGAAAAACAGGAGAGGAGAAGAGTGACACTTAAAGGGCCCTTCTCTTGTATGCTTCAACCTTCCTTTCACGAACCCTTGTGTTCTTGTTAACCTGATCGCCCAGTGTTTGTGTAGTGCCCGGGTGGCCTTCTGGCATATTTGAATGGGTGCATGCCCAGAATTCATTCAACAGACAATGAAGGCCCTACACCAGCCTGGATGAACTATTCACAGGGCTGGCGGTCGATGCGCGTGTCCAGGGTGGACCATTCTGTCTTCTCCTTTCTCTTTCTTTTCCTGTCAGTAAACCTATAGCTGTGAGTGGCACTCTTTTCTGTCCTGTTCTTCTCTCTACTTTGCGCACTAAATGCCTCAATATGTAGACTACCAACTAGCTCAAATGTCAATGCTACGAAGAAAGGGTAAAAGCACAGGAGAGCTGGTGAAGAACTTCCATCGTAAACCGGAGACACGGAAAAATAAAAAAAACGGACAAAACAACAACAAGTCTCAATGCTACGTATTTAAAACAACTTCATTTCACTTTGGCTAGCTAGTGCTCAGAATGAAGGGCTTGCACTCATAAAGCACAGGACAGGAAGCAGCTTTTGTTTGCACATTGCTGTTTTACGACATCTGTCGAGATTGTGACGCAACCCTTCCAGTCAATACAAACATTTTGAATACCGTATTTACTCGCATAATAAACACACTTTTTTTCCCGAAAAATTGACACATATTTGGGGGGGGGGGGGGCATTCATTACATGGGGTAAAATTTTTGCATTTACACACTTCGTGCAAATGTCATATTAAATGCGAATATGGCACAACAAGGTACTGTGGCACGCCACAATCACCATGCTTTATAAAATGCAAACCTTTTTAGGGCGCTTTCGGGGTGCCTTTCGCTGAAGGAAAAGCGCCCTACGAAGCTTACTCAGCACCAAAAGCAACACGACCATTCTTAGGCGATTTATATTGCTAGTATCCGGCGGGCACGTTCGGGTATGTCTGCGTAGTCGCGTATAAGAACTCTGCATTTAAGAACTTGTACAAAGTCCAACCGCCAACCCCCCCCCCCCCCCCCCCCCGATGCCCACTCGCGCGGATCAAGTTTCGTTCACGGAGAGGCTACCAGACACTCTCGGCCTACAGCCAAGCATGCAACTCGCTGTGTCCTTCTGTTACGGATTAAATAAACTTAAATAAACGCATTTACCCGGAGTGTGTGAAATTAGGCCTAACCACTTTCACGATTCCACTGTCTGAAAGCGGACCACAGACGACGGCTTGTTTGTTGACATCAATGCATCCGATAGGCAAAGAATTTCCTTGGCTCGGCAAATCCTCGACCCAAGCTTTGTCAAGTGTGCGCGACACTCGGTTTCATGGTTGATCACTTCCGTAACTACCGCAACTACGTACTTGGAACCATTATTACGCGAGCGGCTTGGCTTGACTTGGCCTGACTGCTTGGCAGCAAAAGAAAACTGGCTTGGTGGCTCGCTAAATTGGACGCAATTCGAGACTCGTGGATCCGAAAATTGGAGGTGCTTTGATTACAAAAGGGAAAAAAAAAAAAAAAAGTCAAAATATCGATGCCTGTTGTGGGGGGTGCGTTTATTGTGCGAGTAAATATGGTAATGCATTTTCGCAAGAATAGCAAAACTGATGCGTGTCCTTGATTTGTTGCCTCGCCTGTCTGTGCAGGATGCAGGGGGAGCCGGGAGATGCACAGCCCTCAGATGCCACTCGCAAGGAGGCTGGCAAACCCAGGAGGTAAGCATGTACACTGCACCATCGGTCACATGCTCCATCTTACACCTTGCTGTGCTGTTGCTTGATTAAGTCATTACTTCTGTTTAGTCTTGTGCGAATAGTGAATTTTGAGTTTGAAGCGAATAGTGATTTTGGCCGAATATTTTCGATTTGAATATCGAATAGTTTTTCCAAGCCTTTCACTACCATTCCATAATGCTTAGACAAAATTCCAGCTAAACTTGTGAAGGTTGTTCCTCTTGTTCATTTATAAGCTAAGTTTAATATATCTACCGTAATATCCCGAGTCAACGCCCACCCTCCCCCCTCCCACCGCCTGAAATTCTCAAAAATTGTGGGGTGGGCCATGACTCGAGTACCGAGCTCAAAAAGTTTCGAAAAAGTTTAAAAATGTGATATTTCTTTGTCTGTGTATAGCGAAGCTAGACAGGAGATTAACTGAACTCAAATCTCGGGTTGGTATCTTACTTGCGACACATTTTAGTGTCGAGCAAAATCCACTGCTTCGCGGGTAGCTCATTTCCGCCTCCTCCGAGCAAGCGCAATTCGAAGCCACGACCGCTGCAGCCTTCGGTCCAACATGAACGAAAAAAAAAAAGAGAATCATTGAAAAAAAAAAGAAAAGAAAAATCGCAAGAAGCCACAGTGACCAAGCAAAGGTGACGAAAGCCGAAAGGAAAGCGGGTCCCCGCTTCCTTTTTGACTTCGGAACCAAGCAAATTGGCAGCCTTTAACCTGACGCCTAAAACGAACCCAGTACGAAAGCAAAAATAAGATGACAGAAGCGAAAACCATAAAAAGGCTCTCTCCGCGGGCGCGACCGTTGCCGCGGAAGGCGCGCGCACGCACAAACTCAATGACCTTCGAGTTTGTGCGTGCGCGCGCGTGGCTCCGGGACAACTTTTTGTGGCAGTACAACCGGAGCTGCGGGCGGCCAAGGCCAATTGGGCACCGACGCGGAGTGCAGCCATTGTTTGTTCTCAGAACGCAGCCACTGGTTACGCTCCATCCACAGCGGTCGCGCTGAAAACAGCACAGCCGCTGTGGATGGAGCGTCGGAACTTCTTGCTTCCGTGGCACTCTTGCAGCAACGTTTCCAATTTAGAGTCCCGCTCGCGCTTGCGGTCCACGCCGAAGTGACGTGCGGTTGCACTCACATTCGATCCATGCTTTTGATGCCATTCGACAATCTCTACTTTCCTCTTCACTGTATAGCTGTTCCGCACCTCGTATAAAAATTGAGCAGCACCGCTGGCAGCAACAGACGGAGAGTGGAAATCAGATCTCAAAACCGAAGCTTAAATAGGGTGCAGGCCGTATGAATAACTTGATACTGCAAATGCAAGTTGTTTAGAAACGAAACAAAGCTGCCTTTTATTCTCATTCGTCTCTCTTTGTCGCGAACTCCAATCGACTTTGCACACGGCGGTCGCGGCATTTGCAAAGAATGCCTGTGTGTTTGCCCCCTTTGCAGTTTACCGATGGGCGTTTTTTATCTTTTGGGCGAACACAGACTTTCAGTTAGGAACAAAAGGAAGCGGCGTTCTATAAACGTACTCCGACTTCGCGCGGAGTGGTCGCGTTGTTCTGAAAGAATGCCAAGTCGGCCGGAGTAGGTTTTGGACAAAGAAAATCGAATCCAAACGAGGCTTTTTGTTCTGAACCACTTGTATTCGCAGTATTGAGTTGGTGATCCGATCCGCGTCCTATTTAAGTTGCGGTTTAGCGGCCTGACTTATCTTTTCAGTGAAAACGGTCTTTCAGTTATGAACAGAAAAAAGAACATAAAGCAGCATTCTGTTATCTTTTTCTCTCCCTCCTACAATCTTTTTTGACCCTATGATCCGCGTGTCCAGGCGCTATATTGCAAACGCACCTTCTGGCCTTTTATATTTATTTCTTTTTCGGGAGGGGGGAGGGGGGTGCGGGCAGGAGAGAAAGGATTGGAAATGTGTCTGCTTTTGTTTGCCAGATAAATATAGGTTCGCTTTCTTATCTTTATTGTGTTTCTTCTGCACAGGCATCCTCCAATTTTGGAGTCGTGAAAATGCAGGAGGGCGCCCTTTCTTTTCTTTTTTTTTTCTGTTTGCAATTTGTGGGGCTCGGAATTGATGTTTTTTCAGGTCTGGGCGATGACTTGGTGCTTTTTTTACGAGATCATGGCGTTGACTCGGTGCTTTTTACAAAATCGATATTTATGACTCGGGGGTGGGCGATGACTCGGGATATTACGGTATATTTATGGCCTGTGACCTCAGAAGGTATGATGTCTTGGGATGGCATGTAAACGACTGATTTGACATAAAATTAATTACTATAGAGATGGCTATCTATACCCAATTGAGTGAATTACAAATCTTGCTATATAAAATATTCCTTCTTTAATCTCGAGTTAAAAAAGAAAGCATTGTGCATGATGAATGCAAGTTGTAACGACATCTCTGCTTAACGTAGTATACTTTTGCATAACAGTCAGTTTAATTCTGAATCTTTTCTACTATGTAGATGTACACATTCACAAAGTTTCCATTTATTTTTATATACAGCCGGCACGCTTGCACCATCCCGCTTTGAATGTATGCTTTTCTTTTAAGCACGCAGTAGACCGATCTCAATAAACGTTCCACGCATGCGTGACGCCACCATAATTGTAGTTCATAGGATGCAGACGCCAGTTCACGAGACAGCTCATACCGCATCGTGCTCTGCTCGTGCAGACCTCCAGCAGGGTTGTCGCACGTGCAGAAAGACTACAGCTTCCACGATGCATGGCGGCAGCGGTGGCGTACTCAAATTAGATGGTGAGATCGGTCTATTGCGATATTCATACTTTTTCATGTGTTCATCGCGGTGCGTTACCCCGTTGAGTGCGCTTGTTCACGAGCACCGCTGTAATGCAGAAAAGCAACACCCGCGGAGCTCGCTTCCGCAGGTATTGCTTCTCTGCAGTGCACCGGTGCTCAGTAAGAAGCACGCTCAATAGGGCTAACCCGCCGCAATTAACACTTCAAAAAATGTGAATTGTGCAGTTCTTCACGAAGCGAATATCGAATAGTGAATTACTCGAAACTACTCTTCGAAATTTCGAATATTCGCACAACTCTACTTCTGTTTAGTTCTTAGATGTATGTATGGTACTGTAAAACCTCTCTGTAGCAAAGCCTAATACTGTATTTGCTTGAGTAATAGCCGCACATCTTATGAACAAGGCCTTGCGTCTACTTTCGTGCAGAACACACATACAGCCATCATCACATTTTGTATAAAAGACGCAACGAATGACGAGGTCAGAAACATGCTTCTCTATAAAAATGCAGTCTGAGCAATAAGACTGTGGTGGTGCAGGTGAGCTGGTGTAGATTTACCATTTTCTTGAATCACCTGAGACTGGGTGGAGAACTATAAGAACCCAAAGTGGAAAATTGAAAAGTGGCAGATAAGGAAACCAAAAGTTTTCTTATCTGCCAGAAGAAACTTTTGGCAGATAAGGAAAGTGTGTTTGTGTGTACTAGGACAATGGCAAATCCGGAAAATAGGTCATGTCTTTTGTTGGGCTTTGGACCCGGAGTTTGGGTATTTTGAATGTGGTTGGTTGGCGACGTTTGGGTTTTTGGTATATATGTAAGTGTTACTAAATAAACCTTCAGCTGAGTTGGAGACGACGCCTTCTTTCTTTCTGTTCCTGTCTCTTCCACTTTTGGTTCCTCTAGTTCTCCACTCAGTCTCAGGTGGTTCAAGAAAATGGCAATCTGAGTAGATGGCATTTTCGCGTGAAGGCGTTATCTCCGTCCCATAAATTACCGTCATTTTTCTGTCTATCGCTGTGATTCACCATCCCCGTGCCCCGCGGGAAAGCAGACCCACACACTTCGTGCAGAAGTGGCGTGGCTATTGCTCGAGCAAACACAGTATTGCGAGGCAAAGCCGAAATAGGATTTTAATGCACATACAAATATTGAATGTAACAATAGCAAATCTTTTTTTTAGAAACAAAATATTATTTTTGAGAATTTCAAATGTGTTGTAAATAAACAAGGGATAGAATGAACATGTTCACCCCTAATTAATTTTGTAGCTTTAATTTTCTCGTTGGCTCCAGAACTGTCTTTGGTCAGATTTTTTTTTCGGCAAACACGTCCGGGCCGTCTTCGCGCAGTTCCGAAAACACGGAGAGGCGGCGGGACCGCAAGGACCGTGAGCGCGACCGCAGCCGCGACCGGCACCGGGAGAACAGGGACCACGAGAGGGACCGCCACCGGGACCGGGACAACCGGAACCGGGACCGGGAAACTGCGCGGACCTCGTCGCGCAACCACCAGGACGAGAACCACCCGCCAGCAGAACCGCGCCGGCGACGCAAGTTCGAAGAGAACCCGAGGCCACGCAAGGGGGACCGGGAGGCGTCCCCTGAAGGTCCCAGGGACCGTTCCCCGAGGAGGTCCAAGGAGCGGCCGGGGGAGAGGGCGGCACGCCGAAGAGGCAGTGGCGAGGGCGCCCCGCCGGAGGAGAGGGCAGCCGGAGAGGCGAGGAACCGGGCGGCAGCCGGCGCCAGGAGGCACGACCGGGAGGCCCCGAGGGACGGCCAGCGCAGGTCTCCAGCCAAGGTGAGGGTGGAATGGAACTCGGCTGATTAGTTTCGCCACGGTGTCTGAAACATGTCTCCGACTAATGTAAACTTCCCTGGGGCATTAGGTCTTTTGGTTAATGGGGCTGTAGGGACTATCCAAGTTGGTTTTACCATGTCGAAGAGGAGAGGGAAGGGAACAAAAATGCAGCCGACCCATGGATGTGCCCACAAAGGACTCCGACGTTGGCGGTTGCTTTTCTGTGCTATAGTGGATTTCTGCTTTTTGCTTTATTTCTGCTTTCCGCTTTCGACTTTTGTCCCTGCTTACAAGTGTTTCCTTCGTGCTATGGCAACCCAGTTGTGCGGTTCAATGTAAAAGAATGGCGAACGTTCATCGTTTGGGGTTTTGCTGTTTGGCCGGCTTGTGTCGTAAATGCTATTTCGGCACGGAAAGCAGAGGGGAGAATTATTCACAGAATCCCTCGAAAGTGATTTGTTCTCTTTCTAGCTGCATTTCTAATTGGTGCAGCCCGTTTCAACCTTACGACGGACCGCAACAAACACTATGAGCCATCCAAGTGTGTCCAGCACTGGGAATGTATCGCGTGACCATGTGCCCTGCACGTTGCTGTGCTCCTTCCGTAGGTCATGTGCCCCTCGCAGGGTGTTGGATTGGCTCTGGTGGCTCATAGCGTTCGCAACCAAGCACTCTAATTAGGGTTTTACTGGATAGGGGAGGGAAACCCTAGATGAGCTTGTGTTTTATTTGCAGAAATGGAAGGAAAAGACTTCAAAATCCAGCAGCACTCGCGCTTCTAAGCGCCTGAAACACGTAAGAATGAGAGAGACTTTTGTCTCCAGTGGGAATTTCGTGAATGCCAGAGACGTTGCACCGTATGAATTGCTGCTTGCACCTAGGCTCTTTCTGTCTTCTCTTTGCTCGTGTGGAGCTGAATGGGGGTGTCTTCTGCAATATGCCTCTTTGGCACGGCTGGTGGAAGTGTTTGCTTGTGGTAAAGCCTTGGCCTGCTTGACATAGGGGTGCACAGAGGTGAGGTGCCACCAAAACGAATTGCTGCTGACAAAAGGGCTAACAGCGTGCAAAAAACGAGGACAAAGTAGAAGTGTACACAGGACAAGCGCCGACTCTCAAGTGAACTTTAATAAAAAAACAAATTCAGCGACACTGAACACATCACAGAGTGGTCAATCAACACGTGTCTGAAAATGCGATCTCTTTGCTGCATAAATTCAGCAACGTCTGGTTGACATGTCCTGTGTGCAGTTCTTCTGCTTTGTCCCTGCCTTTTTGCACGCTGTTTGTCCTTTCGTCGGTATGAACCAACTACCCCACATTGCCGCCCTAATTCAATTGCTCCCATTGGAAGAGATGCTGAACAGGAGGGCAGGGGAGGAAACTACGGGTCGTGGCGAGCAGAGAGCTTTGTTAGAAGGACTTTTCCCACTAGTCTATACCTGTAGCAGACTATAGAAAAGTATGGTTGATGAAAAATTCTGCCAAAAACCTAAGGCAACTTGAAGGCGAAAGCCCGAACACCGATCTCGGTGATAGCGAACCTCCAAAGACAGTGCATTTCTGGCGCTGTTAATCTCGTGGCATGTCGCACGCCCGCTCTTCACCGCTGCCCGAGCAAATGTGTCCTCCTCTCCCGCTGGGTTTGCGCTGCGTATGCGCCTCCGCCAATTCTGGCACAAGTAACGCCATCTCGTGGTCCAGTGGCAAACCATAGGTTTTGGTACATTTCGTGTCGCCGACGTGTTTTCGCTCAGGGAGTGGATGGTGAGATATACAAGGCTTTCACCTTAATGAAGGGAGAGAGTTTCTGCTAGAGAGGGAAAGGCAAACGTTTGCTGCCAAAAACAAACAAAAAATGCTCGATTTATGTCGATCTTAGGAATAAAGTCAGGGTAGACTGAATTTGTTACTGCGGCATTCTTTGTAGCTTGTGGTAGACAGTTTTTTTTTTTTTCTTCAATTGTACAGTTGAGCGTTTTCAAACTAAGTCTGCGGGAATGTCAAAAGTTTTTGTAGTACAGGGGACTTGGGTGCGCGAAACCGAATTTGTGTTATTGTGTATTGATGTACCTGCGGGACATTTGAGGTGTTACTTATGCGCAACGCAATGATTGCCTGTACATGTGTCCTGTGGGAAAGTAGGCGCAAGGGCCTTGTTCATAAATAGTGCGGCTGTTACTCGAGTAAATACGGTATAGCGCCAAATATATTATGAGCGCCATCAGGAACGAGGTTTTGTACGTAGACAATTAACTTACCAAAAGAGTGAACGGCAGCCAAGTCTGCTGGCGCATCGCAGCTTGGAGCATGTTGGGCGAAAGCTCGTGCTGCAGGACCTAGGCATCTTGGGCTCGATTACCACCTGTAGCATTATTAAGCTACTACTCAAGATTTTTAGCTATGTGTATTCTGGCCTCCTAATGCACAGTAGGTTTGCGCAGTAGACCATTTCAGCTCACTGTGCTTGCACCCCAGCAGCAGCACGCACTCCTTCACATTCACACCCTCTTTGAAGGACCTGACAACCTTGACGTCGTCTTAGAGGTCATTCTAGATGTAGTCTTTAACATCATCCTTTAGGACGATGTTAAGAGTGACGTCTAGGACGACCTACCACCTCTAGTGTGATCTCAAGGATGACAAGGATTGAACATCGTCCTAGAGGACGACCCTAAATTTGGTGGGGAGTTTCCCCGCTACATTTAGTGGAAAAATTGACTTCATGACCTATGCATCAATTCAGTTTCGCCGCCAAATTTGGTGGCATGCAATGATAAATGCTATCGCTGTCATAGATAATCACCCCTATGGTTTCTAAAAATTTGCTTCAACCATCAATTTGCTGCCTTGTAATTTTTTATTTTTTTTTTTTTTTCTGGATGAATATCGTATTGGCGCATGTTTGTGTATTTACCATTGCATGATGCAATTTAAGACACCAGGCTCCAGGTTAGTGGTCGTATTGCCAGTACTGCCACTGGAAAATTTTGTCATCGATGGCCAAGACACCAAGCGCTCCTTTGTGCGGAGTAATTTCCTGCTGTCCAAACTTCCACAGAACAAACTTAACTGAAGCGTTCGCAGACCGTGTAAGATTGACCTTTCCTAAATCGGGCGGTGACTGGCACCACCACTCGCCGTTCGGAGGAGTCTCTTGAAGCAGCTGTGCTGCTCTCGTGCATGTAGAGTCGCTAGATGGTGTAGAAGCGGGCGTGGCAGCATACAGCAGTATGGTAAAATTGGTCACGTTCGTGACTGCTACAGTGCGCAGCGCAGCAAGGATGGAAAGAGGCACCTAACCGAGCCAACTGAGCTTTTTCTTCTGTCTGGCACAGAAAGGGGAGTGCATTTCCTTTGTGCCCTCTACTGATTTCGCTTAGATTTCGGCGTCACTGTTAGTCGCTGATTGTCTTCTTGACCGCATAAAAGGAAGGTTTAGAATAGCGGTGTCGCCATTTTACTTGCGCCTAACGCTAACCATGCTTGTGCTTTGCGTTCGCTATTTTAGCTTCCGCTATTTTTCGAAAATCGCACGCTTACACAGAGCGTCTTTTCGTTCCTCCAAGGTGGATTTGTGATGTGCAATAAGTTGGCTAAAGCCAAGACGAGCACAGTTTGAAAATGGCGGCTCCTAGGACCGCGAGTATGACCGCATTGACGGCTGTCATGAGCGCGACGTCGGGGGTATTCTTGCGATTGCGATTTTCAATACAGGATGACATTGCACTCTTACGATTTGGAAGACCCAGCAAGGTCGGCAATCATCGCTGGCAACTTGCTGCTTGCAACCCACATACATTTTTTGGCAAAGGTGTGGAGGTTATGGTGTGTGAAAGTCAGTACACGAGACCTCTCTTGCCTAGGTGACGCAGATAGACACGACCAGTCGACCGCTTTCGTCGCATTCTCATATTAAACGAATCTAAAATGTTACTCCAAACCAAAAAGCTAGGGTTGCTTGTGCGAATATCCAAAATTTTGAATAATACACTATTCGATATTCCTTTCGAGAAAACTGCAACTGCACTATTCGCATTTTTTTGCGAAGTGTTGATTGCGGCGGGTTAGCCCTATTTAGCGCGCTTCTTACTGAGCACCGGTGCACTGCGGAGAAGCGATACCTGCGGAAGCGAGCTCCGCGGTGTTGCTTCTCTGCATTATATCGGTGCTCGGTAAGAAGTGCACTCAACGGGGAAACCCGCCTCGATAGGCACTTGTAAAAGTATAAGTATCACATTTCGTGCTTAGAAGAAAAACATACATTCAAAGCGGGATGGTGCACTCGCGCCGGATGTATTTGAAAATAAATGTAAACTTTGTGAATGTGTATATCTATGTTGTAGTAAAAGTTTCAAAATTAAGCATAGTTGTAACCCGAGACTGGGGATACGGACAAGGGACAAAACACAGAACCATTGCTTCATTTCAAAATTAAACTGATTGTTATGCAAGAGTATACAATGTTAGGCAGAGATGCCCTTACAACCTGCATTCATCATGCGCAATTTTTTTTTTTAACTCGAGATTAAAGGAAGAATATTTTATATAGCAAAATTTGTAAATTTACTCAATTGGGTATAGTTAGCCATCTCTGCAGGATTCATTGTATGTCAAATCTGTTGTTAACTTGCCACCCCAAGATATCAGATCTTCTGAGGTCACAGTTCATATAAACTTGGCTTATAAATGAACAAGTGGAACAACCTTCACAAGTTTAGCTGGTTTTTTGTCTAAGCAATATGCGAGGGTAGTGAAAGGCGTGGAAAAACTATTCAATATTCGAATTGAAAATATTCGGCCAAAACCACTATTTGCTTTGAATTCACTTTGAACTCAAAATCCACTATTCGCATAAGGCTACAAAAAAATTTATTTTTTTCTCAAGTTACAGCATTTCATGTGTGAAATTACAGATGTTTTTGTACCTTGGTGGCGTTGCGAGTGCAAGATGTTGGGTTTTTTGTGTTGAGGCGGAGAAACAACATTATAAAACTCTTGCGTAGCGTGCGTTAATGCAAGTGCTAAATTCAGCGCTGGTGTGCGCTAAAATTGCTTACATTATTCTAAAACTCCCTATTACTGGTCCTAGGTGGTCCAATTTTGGACTCCGATCGAGCAAGGTCGGGAATCTTAGAAACCTGACGAAGATGGGCATGTCGGTTGAACAAATGCCAAAACAGCATGAAAAAGTTGTGACTGCTGTCAAAAATACTTTTTTATTTACATACTCTCGTTCACGCGAGTCCTTTCAAATGCGCTGACGTACACGGAAAATAAGAAAACAAGTGTGCGCATTGCCTGGACAAAGCGTTGAAAAAAATCTCATTTTGGAGCAGAGTGGTGCATAGGTACTCCATGGCGTGAGGAAAGCGAAAATATGCACGAGCGCATGCGGTAGGAGGCACGGCACTACTTCCGTCACACTGATTCCCCTGCCGCCGCGTCATGCATTCTCGGTTTTGAGTCCAAATAATTTGTTAGTGTACAACCTTTTGTCTTGATGGTGCTATGTGACTATAGTATGTTGCTGCATAGAAAGCCTGCCTGCAGGAACATAGTCCTGAAGTGCCATCTAGACACAAAGTTGCACACCAACAAATTATTTGGACTTAAAACCGAGAATCTGCGGTGGTTTCAACCGTCGCCACTGTTGCACTGTTTCTCTTCTTTATGCGTGTCACTTGAGAGCGACAATTTACGTGAAATTGATTACTTTTCACCTATAAAATTCGTAATACCGATCATATTCACTTCGTGGGGCCACGAAATTGCTTAGTTAAGCAGAAATATTTGTCAAACAAGAATTCATTGTAGTAGTCAGAAAATTACATTGGATATTATAAAGAATAAAACTATATACACCAACCAAATCCTTGTTTAAAGGCGGAACCCTACGTTTCAGGACCTGCTCGGTCTCTTCTTCAGTGGTTGACTACGGCTATGGCCGTTTAGGAGCAGTAATCACTTTTCTTCTTCTACGGCTGAGTCTCGTTTTTTATCGGTGAGGGGAGCGAAGTCTGTTCATGTATTGTAGACGGTCGGCAGAGGGCTGAGGTACCTATTTGTTTTCTGGCGTCGTTTGGATGTGCCAGGATTCAATGAAAAGTCTATGTCTGGGATTGGTCTCAACGGCAAGGATGCTGGTGTTGGCAAAGTCAATCCTGTGTTCATTGACGTCACTGTGCTCAGCTACGGCGCTGCGTTCATGGTCGAACTTGCGAACATCATTCTTATGTTGGCAGATTCTCTCCTGAAAATTCTTTGTTTCTCTAATGTATGCGACTGGGCAGTTCACGCGGGGAATTTTATAAATAACGCCTTGTGCTTTCTCCATAGGCGAGCCATCCTTTGGACGGGGCATGAGTGTTCCGAGCATGAACATCAGTTTGTGGGCCACTTGGATTCCTACTCTGGCCAGTACACGTGCCAGAGCCTCGCGTGTACCTTTTATGCAGGGAACACTGATGCTTGTGGTAGGACAGAATTGTGTACTTGCTTTGGGTTGCAGGTGTAGGCAATCTCGGGCTTGATGACTGGCAATGCAGTGGATGAAGCTGCTTGTGTAACTATTACGTCGTTGTTCGGCGAAGATGGTGTGCTCCTCTTTTTTGCGGTCAGCTTTGGATGAGCAGATATTCTTTGACCTGGATAAAAGCGTTCTAACCACTGATGCCTTGTGACAGGCTGGGTGACTGGATTGGTCACAAGGCATCAGTGGTTAGGACGCTGTTATCCAGGTCAAAGAATATCTGCTCATCCAAAGCTGACCGCAAAAATGAGGAGCACACCATCTTCGCCGACCTACGACGTAATGGTTACACAAGCAGCTTCATCCACCGCATTGCCAGTCATCAAGCCGAGGTCGCCAACACCTGCAGCCCAAAGCAAGTACACAGTTCTGTCCTACCACACGTATCAGTGTTCCCTACATAAAAGGTACAAGCGAGGCTCTCGTACGTATACTGGCCAAAGTAGGAATCCAAGTGGCCCACAAGTGGCCCAATTCCACACATAGAATTTTCATTGAATCCTGGCACATCCAAACGACGCCAGAAAACATAAATAGATCCATCGGCACACTGCCAATCGTTTACGTGAATGGACTTCGCCACTTCACTGATGCAAAACGAGACACAGCCGTAGAAGAAGAAAACTGTTTACTGCTCCTAGACGGCCATAGCCGCAGTCAACCCCCGAAGAAGAGACTGAGCAGGTCTTGAAACGTAGGGTTCCGCCTTTAAAGGGGCACTGACCCCCCCAAAGGTCGTATATTTTTTTTTATTGTCTAAAACTATGCAAATTGTAGTCATAAACACTAAAAAAAATACCGCATCGTAAAAATTTTTTTACACACGTGCGTGTTCTTTTATTTTTGTTGTTCTTTCCCGCTCCTCGCGTCTTTTGATTTGTGACGTCAAAAATTGTTAAATTTGGAAGCTTTGTAGGCAATATTTTTATAACATTTAATAACAACCATCGTAAAACATATTTACTAATGCAGTTGTGAAGGCACTACGGCTTTTCTTTTTGATGTCGCCTCCTGGATTTGCATCCTCCCTCGGAAAACATGGCGGCGCTCGACGCATGTAGCAGAGGATGATCGGTGGCACGGCACGCTCGGAATAAAGCAGGTTTTTCCCGGTCCGCCGGTGCCCTTCTCTCCCACTCTTCACCTCCTCGATTCGGGTCGCTGTGGCAACGGCGGTTTGGAGCGGCCGAGGCGTGAAAGAAATTCGACTCGCAGGGCTCCGCTATATTTGACGTCACCGTACTGGCGCGGATCTTGCAGGAACTTAGATTCGGCTTTTGGAGATGGTTTTTTTGCTTCACAAATACTGAATTCTCAAGTTTCGAACTTTGAGGGTAATGTCTCGGCATTGTTATCAATCGGTTCGGATAATAAAAAAATAAATATGATTTTGATATGTCAGTGCCTCTTTAAACAAGGATTTGGTTGGTGTATATATTTTTATTTATTATTGTTGCGCCCCAAGCATAGAGACGTCTCTCGAATGTTCACTTTCAAGACATTGGATATTGGCCGGGACTTTATTTTATTTTGTTACGCGAACGTTTTCATAGTAGGGGCGTTCGTTATGAAGGCTTTGACTGTAGCATGTGATTTTATTCCAAACTCTTCCTTTTTTGCGACCGTGGGCACAATCTGGATTTCTTAATTCGTCCCATCAACTGTTCCGTGGGTAAGTAGAGACTGCCGTGGTAGAGACAAAGTCAGCCAGCTTCGAATCTACCCCCTAACTGGCGCAGTGGTAGAACGTCGAGCTAACGACGGGGTCGTCGGTTCAATCTTTGTCAGGACGTGTTTGGAATATCTTTCTTTCTTTCTCAATTCACCACTTTTTCGTACGGATTGTCCTCCGAAGTATCCGTCGCACTTTTCGTAATGATTTCCGTGGCGTTCCGTCGTGCTTTCCTCGGAGATCTCGGCCCTTAAACGCATTCTACGTCGAAAGGTCAGAAAGTTTCTGCCGCACGAATGAGGTGCAATGCCGTCTTGCAGAAGGTCCAGACCGCACCTCAGGGCGAGCAGGCCTCACACCAGCGCGGCAAGGAGGGTGCCTCGTCATCCGTAGCCCTGGCCGCCTCGGAGAGCAACGGAAGGGAGGACAAGGCGGAGAGGCGCTCGGCAGCTGCACCAACGGCGGCACCGGCGGCGGCCAAGGCACCCCGGAGGTTCGAGGAGCACCCGCGCTCCGGGGAGGCGGAGGCAGCGGTGCCGGGGGTGTTGAGGACGCGACTGCCCATGACCCAGCTCCTGGACCCCGCAGAACCCCTGCCCCCCGGCGTGGAGCCGGACGAGGTGGGACCCGAGGAGGGTGTGAATGACAACTCTCAGAAAACTTTTTTAAATGCACTTCATTTATTGAGACATCTTTTGCGCTTTTACGTCCGACACCAGAGGTGTAGCTACTACAGAGCATGCAGGCCCCAATGCGGTGTGCAAGTTCGTCCGCTCTTTTCAAACCTCGTGCGTTTGTTTGCCCTCAAAGTGCGCCCACGTGCTTGTTTTCCCCCAACGTCAACCGATGACGGCGTGCGCGTGTCTGCTTCGTCGTCGCGCATTCCCTGCACAACCTTTGTGTGGCCCTTTTCATCGGTGTGCTCTTCCTCGCACTGCAATGAGCCAAAGACATATTTTGGAGCACTCGCTCACTGTATTGCGCGAGGAATGTACGATCGACTACGCTTGAGGACCAACGCGACACGCGGGCCGACGTGCATGACGTCGTCCGATTCGATGACATCACGCAACACCATGGCGTCATGTAACACCATTACCAGGGTGTCACATGACATTGTGACGTGATGCATGACATCGTGGCATCACGAGACTTCACGAAGTCACGTGCTGTCACACACAGATGCTGCATGCACCCGGCTCATTTGCAGGTCATTTTGTGTGTCTCCGAGTTTATCAGATATGATCGAGACATGCTTACCATAATACCCCGAGTCATCGCGCACACGCCTGCCACCTAAAATTTATAAAAAAAAGTGGGCTGATCCGTAATGGGTTAGCACAAAAAGTTTAGAAAAAGCTAAAAAAAAAAAGCGCCCATTCTTTTAAATGTATCTAGTGCTTTATAGAAAAAAGGCTCGCGAAAGAATATTTTACTATCATGAAGTCCGACACTTGCTTATGCGCGACAAACATTGCCAATCGGCATGCAGTGCGAATGCTTGTTCTGTGAAAGCACGTTTCTAAAACTGTCATGTTCCCTTCGTTAGGCTTCCAAGCATTTGTTTATCTGTAGATTAAAAAATAAATGGAATAAAAAAAAATTAGTCATTGAGAAAATAGAACAACCAACCAGGCGCAACAAACAAGCGAACGAGCACGAATTCGAAAGAAGCCACAAAGAGGGATTCTGGGAAAACCGGAAAGCCGACAATTGCCTTGGCAAATACTTTGGTCTTGGGCCAAGTCGGGCGCTTTGTCAGTTACAAGGAGCAGGCTCTTGTGCAGCCTCCTTGTTTGGTGCCTACATTCGTGCGTCCGTGCACAGCGTGCTATCATTGCGGTTTGAGGCGGCATTGCTGTGTACCGTGGACGGCACCAGAAAAAGAGAAATCGAAATGGGACGTTTTACAAACGTTTGTGTGCGGCGTTTCAGCAAATCTTTATTTACCCACTGGATTTGTCTCAAACATCACACAAGCTGACTCACATTCCAGAATATGGGGTATTCGCCGACCTCGCAATCACCGAATGGATTACTGCTTGTGTTATCATTCCGGTTTTTTCTCCTTTTATTTGTCTCGACAAGTAAAACAGGGTTTTATTCTGTTATATCCATTGTTTCATCTTTCTTTCGCACGAATCTTTGGGGTTGCCGAAATCTGAGAGGAAATCCGTAAACAAAGTTAAGTGTCTTTCTCTCCTTCGTTTTACTTCGTCACGGGCATCCTCCAACCGTCAGGTTCATGACCGCGTCATTAGGGTAGGACGAATTTTCAAGGATCGTGGAGTTCATTTTGGGGTATTTGTAAGGGTGGGCGATCACTCTTTTTTGGGGGGAAATCAATACTCGCCCAAAAATTGCCGTGGGTGATGACTCGGGATATTGCGGTAAATTTTTTAATATTTGTGTAGTGAAAGTAAAAGCTCTGGAGATAATAGGATATCGATCCCATTACCATTGCACATGTGTGCAGAGATGTAACATTCCCAGCCTGTGCCTGGCCGTGCACATCCGTGCCGTCTGCGCGGTGTTAATTGTGCCCCCCCTTCATGTTCTGTCATTTTTCGACTGTATTTCCTGTCTCTTGTTGCAGATCACCTCTTGTTTGGATACGGCGAGCTCGCTGCCATCGTCGCAGATGAAATGGGGAATGTGAGTGTCTGTCCCCCTTTTCGACCCTTTGGAGGGGTGGCACATTTTTTTTGTAATATCTAGCATGTACAGTTGAACCTCAATTTAATGAAGTCACCGGGACTTTCTAATTATTTCGTTAAATAGGAAACTTCGTAAAATCGAGGCAGGGAGACCTCGCATATAGGCTGGTCGGGTAATCCGAATTTGTTCGTTAAATCGGGAAATTCGTAAAATCTGATTTCGTTAAATCAAGGTTCAACTGTACCGTACTTGCACAAGTGTAGGTCCACCTACAATAATCCCTCGTTATAACGAACTCAACGGAACAGCAAACAAATTTTATATAAGCGGTAATTCAATAAAAGCGATAGTCAGAAAAACAGTGCCAGCAGCCTTGGAGGTGGACGGGAACACTTCAGAACACTCTGACCATATATTTTATCACTCAGATTTTGATTATGAACATCTTGTGGCAGCTTTACCGAGTAAAAAAAAAATAATTAAGTGGTATGTGCCGGTAATTTCACCCGGATATCAGTTCTCCTCGAACTGCTTTAGGCATCGCAAGAACACTGTCACTGCCACTGCACTCCACTTTGTTTCGAAGCAGCCGTAGGATGCTTCGCGTCTCCGCAGTCGTCGGCGTTTCCCGAGGTGTCTCTCTGACATTGCTTCGTGTTTACCCTGGTTGTGCGTAAGGCCTACGATTGCAGCATCCAACGGAAACGTCCGCATCGACAAACGCTAACGAGTGGAAGTTATCCTCGGTGGCTTCGCCAACATAGTTTCACGCACTCCTGTAGACGTTGTTGCAGCTCTGGGAATTGTGCGCCGGCTCGTCAAACATGCTCGCGAGAAAAAATCCTATATGTGCAATATGCCTTGCTTGTTTTGCGAAATGATGGACAGTATAGAACAGCCGATGCCGGAATGTCGAATTTTTTGGGATTTGGGCCGGCCACTTTTCTCAACCTCGCAGATCTAAGTGTCCTTCGGTAAACACTGTCAAACCCCCATACGCTGCACATGTGTGTTTAGCAATCCGCAGGTGCACGCGTAAGGGGGGTGGGGGGGGGGCTTTAAAGGGATGATCTCCTCCGGGCTCCATCATTCCCTTGAGTTAATTCTAACAGGAGTCTGGCAGTGTCGGCCGCGGGCGCCGTGAGTAGCGTCGCAACGTTGACGCTGCTCCCGCGGCTCCCTGCCCGCATCCCCGCATCGGCGCATCGGTACCAGAAGCGGTGCTCTGCCAGCTCTGCATGCTCTACTTTCCATCACCTGTTTACTTCGTTTTCCCAGTTTGCCTTTTGCCCTGATGAAGAAGGGGGAAGGAACGCTAGCGTCTTCGTACGCCTCTGTGTAGGCTTGCATGCTTTCGGCACCGAGGCCTTTATAATAAGCGTGGTCGGCCAGCAATACACTTCAATTATTCCGGTTAAAAATGTATTCATTTCAGTTGGGTCCTTGTTGAACTTCGGTAAAAGCGATAATTAAAAGAAAGTGATTTCGTTATAATGAGAAATTACTGTATCTAAAATTTTTGCAAATCTGAGATGAGGGAGTGGGGGATGATTTATAATCGGAACCAAAGCATCCCATCGCCAACAAAGATGAAACAATCGCAGTAGCAAGAGTTCCTCGGCTTGTTACGAGTTCAGCCGGTTCTATCCGTACCATATTGCCATTCGGAGCGCTTGCTTTACAAGTTCTGTCTTTTTTTAATATGCGCGAACGAGTAGCACGATCATGGTGGTTGCGATTAGTAGTCAGCTCAAATGCACGGCGGTGAACTGCGCGCAATACCCCGCCCTGCACGGCAACACGCAGCGTGCCTGAGCTCTGGTGCTGGCAGCACTTGACGTAAGAGCCACGCCAGAAGGGCCAGAATAGCCACTGGAACAGCCTTTCTCCCTGCCGCTTGTTTTCGCACGATGCATGGTCGCATGTTGTTTGATCGAGCTTCAAGATGGTGCGACCGAACTGGAGTGCCAACTACACTTTTCTGTATTGACACGTGTGGTCCGGACAGTTTAGGTTTGCAACGTTCAGTTACTGCCATTCTTTGTCCAAAAGCAACCAACAACTGCGCCGCCGTACGCAAGGTTGACCCGTTGGAGAAAGTGGCGCGCCAGTTGCATCAGCAACGGCACGGGATCTTTTAACTGCAATGTCAAATGAAGAGGTTTCCGCGGGCCAAAATTTGGACACGTCTGTATGCTTCCCGGAGTTGGAGGTCGAGCTTGCAGCGTACGTCGCAGAATCGCGCGATCAATCACTACCCACAACGCTATTGCTGTGGAAGTGCAGAAGGTGCGGTCAATGCGGTCGTTTAAAAAGTGGGAGATTTCATTGGACAATGCGACGACGCGTTTTGGGAATGTAGCAGCGATGACGACGGGAACGACAGCACTAGTGCGGACGAAAAAACAGCAAGGAAGAGTTTCAGTTGTCTCGCCTCCAGTGCAAGCTTCTCAACTTGGATAACACTTCGGCATCCCTCGTACGTGTGCAGGAAAAGCATGCCAAAAGACGTAGAGCGCGCTGGAGGTCAGGATTTCAAAAGAGGCGCTCTGCTGTTCTCTCCCGTGTTCGCCGTACAGTGTGAACCTAAGCTATAACTTTCTTTTCCGTCTGGCTGACGAGCAAAGGGGGGGGGAGTCACAATTGAGTTGACTTAGTCGTGTAAATACGATACCCACAGTCGTGCAGGATTTTTTTTTTTTTTCTTTTCAGATTTGCAGGAATAATTGAAGCAGAACCAAATACTAAAACCGTGGTTAGGTTTAGCTTGGGCAGATTTACATTTGTATTGTGTTTACCGCAAGAAAATAGTAGCTTTCCTTCGTGTTTGTTCATTTTTGAGCTTGAGGATATTGGTTTCAAGCATGGTTTGTTTGTAGCATCAAATTATTTTTCCCCTATTTATAAATACTCGGCTCAGTATCGAGCGTTAAATCGTTCTAGTGGCCGCAACATTTACCGAGTGTGTGACATTGCCATTCCGTTTTGTGGTGTCACTTGCCAGGAGCAGCGGTGCCGGCGGCAGTGGCGGCGCCAAGGTCCTCACGTCTCACGTGTCGAGCGCCGAACCCAAACACAGGAGGGCGAGCTCGCCGCCGACAAAGGCGCCGCCGTCTCGCCGGGCCGAAGCACAAAATTCCACCCCGTCTCAACCTGACTCCGGCAAGAGCCTTGCCCAAAAGCCCACAAACGACGCAACCCCCGCGCCCAGCCGAACTTCCGCCCCGAAGACGGCCGAACGGCGCAAGAGTTCCTCAAAGAGTTCGCCGACAATCGCCCCGTCCAACGACCGTCCCAAGGGAAAGGCGGCGGAAGGGTCGTCGTCGAAGGCGGCGCGCGAGTCCAAACGGGTAGCTTCCAAGGTCTCCCGCTCCCGGTCCCGCAGCCAGTCGAGGGGCCGCCGCGGCAACCGCAAGCGCTCCTCCAGCCCGCCGGGTCGGAAGCGGAACCGGTCCGCGAGTTCATCCTCGGGCGGGGGCCGGCGGAAGGCGAGGGGCCGCGGGGACTCCTCGGACGAGGACCGGTCGCGGGGCGCCAAAGGGCACCGGGGCCGACGCAGCCGCAGGCGGTCGTCGAGCTCGAGCAGCGCATCGTTCAGCTCGAGCAGTGCGAGCAGCTCGAGCGGCGACCGGGGGCGCAGGAAGCGCCGCAAAGGCAACGCCTCCCGGTCGGGCAGGAGGAAGCGCTCGAGTTCCAGCTCATCGAGCTCCAGCGACTGAGTCTCGGGGGGCCGCGACTGCGCGGTTCCGGTCATCACGATTCTTGACACAGCTTTGTGCAGTGCACGCTAGAGGAGTCCTACGCCGACGACATTGTTCGCCACCAACACCCTCGCCTGCGACATCCTACTGGACTGAATGCGTTAGCAAAATCACTCGGTCTCTGACATCTCTGTTCGGGTTCCCTTTGTTTTTTATGCCGGTCTCGATCATCAAAGTTCATATTGTCTTATAACTTTTCTTCCAATACTTTTTCTTTTTGTTGTCTTTTTTTTTTTCACAATTGTACACAGCTGCACCCTCACATTCAGCTGTCTTTCTGAGTATGGGTGTAGTAAGTTAACGGTATTAAACTGTTTCTACAGAACGGTGCCCGTGTTTGGCTATTGTGACGGGTTGGTTTCATCCCGAGCAGCTTGTATAGTATTGTTGACTCCAAAGACGTTTTCCTTTGATCTTTATCTGTAATCTTTCATCTGTTGGGTGCATCTAATCTGTCCTGGCATGCACCTACAACGTCTCGCGGTAGTAGGCTCCATCCGTTACGTGCCGTCAAATTTTTCCTCCGAGTTGCAGCTGATCGGTCGCCCATCTCCGAGGCAGCGTCATCGAAATGTAGGATTGTGTTTACTTACAAACTGGGACCTTCAACTTATTTTTTTTTATATTCAGATTTCTTATTTAAATTTGAAAACGTTTACTCCCAATAAAGATATTATGGCATATCACATCCAAATTAGGTTGTTGGCTACAAGTCATTAGGGTGATGGCATTTGAAAATTTACTGAAGCTTTTTGTATCTTTTTCAAGCTTTTGTAGTTTTCGCTAGCAATTACATACTGCACCCAAAGACAACAGTCGCAGCATTACAAAGTTTTGATCATAGACTACCAGGATGGCCCCATCGACTGCAACATTACTCATTGACACACATGCCACTCGTGGGACGACGTATTAGCGATTTTCGTCACGTGTCTTTGAACCTGCTTTCACGGCTTCGTCTTTTGGCCACCAGGCGCTTGAAATATTTGATTCGCTCGAGAAGGCTGACAAGCAGACCTGCCACCATAGCTTTCTGTTCTAGTCGCTAGGTGCCATTGATTTCACTGGAGATACCAACAGACGCAAACTTCGGTAAATTTCAGTCAAAATTTAATTGTTATAATTACCTGTTTAGGTGCAGGGTTAAAAAAGAACTATAAACGTATGCTGAATTTGTTTCTCAAAATTCAGTTTTAACTGAGAAAGGCCAGTATTGCTAGCAATGGGTGTTATGGTACGGAACGGCTGCCCAGAGAACGCACCAGAGCAATACTAGTGGCGCCGCAGCTCCGCACTCTGGTGCAAAACCACCCTCTATAGACCGACACACTGTTTACAAACAAACCCGTATTTGCCCACACCAGGTGTGGGTGAAGCTTCTGCGTGTGCGCGCCGTGGTGACAACAGTGCCGCCGCAGAGGCTTGACGTCAGAGCCACGTGTTGGTCTTTAACAGTATGGGTCAGGTTGCAATGGGGACAAACACATTAAAATTCTACTGTGGCAGCATTGCTATATTGCGGCTTTTTGTCTGTTGAAAAAAGGTGATTATTTTTTTTTAGGAAGGCGAACCTCCGCAAAGAAAGGTGCTATGTGCTAGGTCTCCCGGGTGGAGGAGATAATCCTGGCATTAGAATGTTTGTCAACAGCAAAGTGTGTCTCGCAAGTGCAAGACAGCATCGCCGATGCCATCTGCCTCAAGATAAATGCTGTTTTTCTTCATGGTTTCGCTGGCTCTTGAAAGTCTGAGCTATTTGGATAAAGATGAGGATGCTATATTGTATAAATTGTCTTCACGCACAGCTGCGCTGTTGCACACACTGCTTGAACTCTGGCAAGTGCTCTTAGAAAGTCCGAGTTACCAATTGCTGGGAGCAAGCCATGGCTGTTTTAATTTATGCAAATGAAGTCAATGACGAGGCAGGCATTCCCAGATTGCAACACTATCTCAAGCTGTACAAAAAAACAAAAACGAAGCGGGATGCAAGTACAGTTACGGCTGATCAGGGGGGCTAAGCTCGCCTTCGGCGGGAATCTCTCCGATGCGACGTAACGCGTGAGGGGAGGAGCTTCTTTTGACTCTGCCCCGGCGAGTTTCCCACTCTTCCTCTTACATTTCCGACCCCCCCGGCGGCGGCGAGTTCCCCAGCGTAGCTCCGATTTGTCCCTACGCTCCGCTCCTGGGTTCAATCCTCACCCATGCTCATTTGGATCTTGATGAGCATCGCACCGGCGTGCGGTCGTGTATGACTCACTACTGCGTGGTGCCGGTTGTACTGCACTGGCTAAATTTCTCATCTACAGCTGGGAGAATCATCGCCCGTTGAGGCCGGCCAAATTTTAGGCTGTAAAACACACAGAACCCAATTTTTTTTATTTAAATCGTAAATGACAAATAAGAATCGGTAACAGCACGGATCCTAATTATACAAATGGATATGGGCTAGGTGGTTAGATATTGTGATGGTTTGCTGCGCTGCCTAGCTGCAAGAAAAACGCATTTGATAAGATTTACGCTCAAGCAGAGAATAGACGAAAAACAACGTACAGGAATGGCGCAGACTAACAACTCTGTAATTTTTTTTTTTCTCATTTTTCTAGCCCCACACCGCCACACTATGTTTTTCAAAATAGGGAGCACGTGGAGCGAAAGCTCGCGCTGCAGAACCCAGGATCTTGGGTTCAATCCCCACCCCTGCACGTGTCGATCTGAATGAACGTCGTACCGGCGTGCGTTCGTGTATCACTACTGCGTGGTGCACGTTAAAGACTCCAGGCTAGCAGTCGTACTGCACTGGCTAAATTGCATATCTACAGGGGTGACAATGTCGCCATGTTCTGGCATGTTCTCCTACTGTATAAACAACTAACGACCAATTTGTTTGTTAAAAAAATACGGTGTGGAGGGGGAAAGAAATTACACAGTTGTTAGTCTGCGCCATTCATGTACATTGTTTTTCTTATATCATCTGTTTTAGTTTCAATTTTATCAAGTGCGTTTATCTTGCATCCCCGCAGCGCAGCAAACCATCAAAAAAATTGTAAAAGCCTGTAGGTAATGATAAATTGCGTTTCTGATTGCAGATTGCCGTAAAAACATTTGTCTCTAGAATTCACTTTGTAGAATTCGTATGTAGGATTCACGACGGGGACGATGGTCCATTCACGGCTCCATCGCCTCAAGCCCGGTTCGCCACGCAGTTCATCGCACAGCCACCTTACCACGTCTTTCGAGAGGCGATAGTGTTGTTGGAAATCAACGTCGTTCATGTCAAACACATTGGCGTGGCTTAAATAGTTACGCCGACGGCGAAACACGAACAAATGCGCTGCCATTTTGGATGCTTATCCCCCATCTCGCGCCCAACTCGCCCAAACTCGCCTAGGTCGGAGCCGGCAAGCTTTTCCTATCCGCGGCGGCTTTTGCCACGTCACAATGACGACACAGCATCTCGCCGCGAGTTCCGAATATGCCACTCTCCGACCGCCTCAAACCCTCCGTTCTGACGTCATGACCTAGGGAGTGACGGCGCGTGTCGTCATGCACGGCGCCGACCAATCGCGGCGGGCGGCGAGTTTGTCGGGGAACTCGCCTTGATCTTTCCGTGCCGAGCTTAGCCCCCCTGTTTTGTTCCTAGGCTTTTTGAGTGGGTCAAACCACAAAAAAACTCGCTACACACCGCGACACCTTGTGGGTGCCCGTGTACAGAGCCCGTGTACAAACCGGAGCGCCCCTAGCGGACGCCATCGGCGCCGCGCATGCGCGGTGGGCAAGAAGCCCGCTGTCGCCCATAAACAAACCATTGAATTGCGTTGTTTTCGGCGTCGCTGGGAGTCCCCGTGCAATTTTTCGCGTTGGAATCGTTGATTCTACGTCCTCCTAACAATCTCTGACTACTTCAGCGGCTTCAGCAAAATTAACGAGGCAAAACTTTGCGTGAATAATGTGACTTGCGGCGATTCATTTCACGTGGACGCCGCAGAATGGGCGCTAAAACCTGACTCGCACGATGAGATTCTGCTCGCTATTTTCAGTCGCGACGTCGCTCGGGCTGCAAAAGCGTGGACCGTAGCTGAGATGGTGCATATCGATATTGAAAACTCAAGTAGAATCGGGCATTACAAATCGGTGATGGCCACTGGTAACAATGATCAACATCTTGTATCTACTGTTTACACTTAGCCTACTTACTCCATCCAACCTTCAAGAGTGTTTTGAGGCCTGCACTTAGTTCTTATCGCAATTACCGGGTCAACGTTTGGTTTACGGGTCGCAGTCGTTTGAACGAGCTGACAACAAAAAACAGACAAGTTTGAAAGAGCAGACGACAGTTTGAACGCTTGCGCAATTGAGTGCGGGCAAGAAGCACCGCGTCCCGCGTCAACAATCCATTGGAATGCCACGTTGTCGGTGTCTGTGTGAGTCTGCATACTGTTTTTCGCGTTGGAATTGTCTATTCTACGTTCTCATAGCAATGTCTTACCGCTTTAATCGCCTGAGCGAAATTATCAAGGCTCGTTACACCGCTAAACTTTGCGTAAATAATTTGACGTACGGCGATTCATTCTCGTGAACGCCGCAGAATGGACGCCAAAACCATCATGAGATTCTTCTAGATATTTTCGGTCGCGACGTCGCTCGTGCTGCAAAAGTGTAGAAGGTAGCGGTGATTATCGACGTCGATACCGAAATTCGGAAGCGGGAACAGACCAAGCGTAACAGGTCGGTGATGGCTACCGGTACCATTGATCAACATCTTGTATCTAGTCTTTACACCGAGCCTACGTAAGTCTTTTGAGGCCTGCAATTACTTTTTATTGCAATCACCGGGTCAAAGTTTGGTCTACGGGGCGCTTTTGTTTGAACGAGCAGACGACAAAAAGCAGGCTCGAAAGAGGAGACGAAAGTTCGAACGATCACGCGGCCGTGTGAATTTGAAGACACACTGAACCCGCGGGTGGCCGGGACAACTTGTCGGTTTTCTCTCGTTTATGTTGGAACAAAACAAATACATCTGGCGACCACAAAGTGTTGCCCGCGCAAGCAATCGTAGTTCGTCAGCGTCTGGTTTACCCTCTTCACGGCTACTATCTACGCACTCGGACGAACGGAGCGGGCAGAAACACATGAAACCTGATCTTCAAACCTTTCCAGACACTTTTGGTACAGCCCCCGTCGCAGAATTTTGACGAGAACACAGGTTTTTTGTCTGGTTTCTCTGAAAAGACCACAAGAATGCATGTCTCGCGCGGCGACTTCTTTTCTGCCCACCGCCCCAGACCGGAAGTGCGACCGACGCGCCACCACCGCGGCGTGACGTAGGAG